AAGGGGGCACATTACATATCTTTTACGTCCGGGGACCGGTACTCAAAGAGGAATCAAATGCCCGTCTCACCACGCGGCCGACGGCTACCAGCGAGGGCGGTCGCCGCGCCGGGTTCCACCAACGCCATGCCAATTAACAACGATGATCTCGGTACCCAACAGCGTTTGAGTACCAGGGGTACCCAACAAGACACTGCGGTCAAGCGAGCCGTGGACACAGTGTGCCCGCAGCGCCCGCAGACCTGAGGGCCAAAGGGGTAATTGCGAGCGGAGTCATCGCCGGTCGGACGAGCTCACGTCGCTACCCGTCGTCGCAGGAGTTCGGGGCCAGGGCTCTCGGCAGACGGACGTCCACTAGGGAGAGGGGACGTCGACTGTCAGAGCCAGGGGGAACGCTAGCGTAGAATCATCGCCGGTCGGAAGAGCTCGTACGCTGCGACTCGACCCGTCGCCCGGAGTCTAATCCAGGACTCCCCGACCACACAGCCGCCCACTCGGAGGCATACCTCGGCTCACATGAAGGCACCCTAACCTCGGCGAACCTCACTCATGGAGGCCCTCACTCACCACAGGTGAGGTGAGGGTGAGTGAGGTCCGTGAGGGCTGTGAGCTAGGACCGTGAGTGCGCGAGGGCGGTGAGTGCGTGAGGGGTGTGAGGGCCATGAGTGCGTGAGGGGCGTGAGGGCGGTGAGTAGCGTGAGGGCGGTGTGTGGCGTGAGGGCCATGAGTGCGTGAGGGGTGTGAGGGCGGTCAGTGCGTGAGGGCCGCGTGAGGGCGGTGAGTGTGTGAGTGCATGAGGGGCGTGAAAAGTCTGAGGGCCGTGAGGGCGGTGAGTGCGTAAAACGTGTTGAGGGCCATGAGTGCGTGAGGGGCGTGAGGGCGGTGAGTGCGTAAGGCCCCCTTCAGACGGAGCAACTTCCTCAGCAATTTGGTGTTGATGGCGGGTTGTTCCCTGTAGCTTTCTCTAGATCGACACGAATTGCTGAGATCGGGACCGGCTCGAAACAAGCGAGCAACTCGGAGCAATTCGAAGACGTTTGAACCGGCTGCATCCAAACAGGGACGCGATATTTACACGTGACATCTCGTGCAGGTGATGATAAGAACAAAGCCTTGGTTCCGGTTTGAAATTGATCGTTTTTGGAAATAAACCGTTTCAGAAAGATGCATCAGTATTCTCAACGAGATTTAAATGCATAAAAACACGTTTATAGCGCGTAATGGTGTGTCTAAATAGTGCAAGAAAAATAAAATTTCATGATGATGTAGGCAAATGGCATCAATTGGTTGCTGCTAGTGAACGCGGGCGGCCCGTGTTGCTGGCGTTGCGACTTCAAGTTTCTGGGCGAAAGTGCCCCATCTGAAGCGGGCCTGAGTGGCGTGAGGGCCACGAGTGCGTGAGGAGCGTGAGGGGCGTGAGGGGTGTGAGGGCCGTGAGTGCGTGAGGGCCATGAGTGCGTGAGGGCGGTGAGTGGCGTGAGGGCCATGAGGGCCATGAGTGCGTGAGGGGTGTGAGGGCGGTGAGGGCGGTGAGTGGCCTGAAGGCTATGAGTGCGTGAGGGCCATGAGTGAGTGAGGGGCGTGAGGGCCATGAGTGTGTGAGGGCGGTGAGGGGCGTGAGGGCCATGAGTACGTGAGGGCGGTGAGTGCGTGAGGGGCGTGAGGTTCAGTGAGGGTGAGTGAAGGGCTGAAGGTGAGTGTGGCGTTGGTGTGGCTGTGAGGATGAGGGTGGGTGAAGGGCTGAAGGTGAGTGTAGCTGTGAGGGTGAGTGTGGCTGTGAGGGCGAGTGAGGGCAACCTAAAATGCCGACTTCCGCTCGGAGGGCAGGCCCGACTTTCCCCCGCGCGATCAGCGTTGCCAGATGGCCCAACAAAGAAACCGCCAAATGGCTGGGAAGTATAGCCCAAATATATCAACCATAAAAAAATAGCCAAAACTAAAAACAAGTGTTCTTAATGCATTCACTTTTTCAACCCTCATATGCGCCACATTTCGTGTACATCCTGTCACTTGTGAATTTTTCAAAAATATGTTTCGGAAGGATGAAAAGCCGAGCAGCATTGACCTTCCTTCGTAGGCCTTCAGAAATACAAAACACACAAAGACAGCTTTATTGTGAAGCCCGGGAGATACGATCATACAGTTAAAGAACAAAATATTGAAGCAGAACAGTAAGAACGCTGGGACTTTCAAACCAGAACCCCAATACCTAAGGTCCTTACGAATTAGTAAACAGGATAACTGGGCGAGTTGGTATGGATTCATAATGGAACAGCGGATATCCTTACGAATATCCCACCCGTCACTTTCTCTTTGTGTAGAATATGAGTGTCCCCCATTTTGGTTCATCCTTTCTTGGGATGGGCGATGACTGGGAGGTAGTCAACAGACAAAAAAAAAAATTGGGTTGTGTGTATGTTTATACAGCCTAGAACTTGGTCTGCCTCAACGGGCGATGAGTCTCCCAGTTGTAGGGATTGGTGTTCCACGCGCCACACGCGCACGCCTTCCCCGTATAAAAGATTCGAAGCAAATAACCGAAATAAAGCGCTGACGAACGCGCGTGCAATATACAATGTTTTAAGTTTTTGCTTTAGAAAATTTACTACTGCTGGGGCCAGCACGTGCGGCGCGTGGAACACCAATCCCTGCATTCTCCTTGATGCTTGGGTAACATAGCAATAGGTCTATAATTTAGTGGTGAAGCTTGTGGGATCTTGCTACCAACAAAGGTACCGTTAGAGTAACCGAAGGATTGTCTCAACAGCGGCGATATCTCAAAGGAGACGTCAAACCTAGTAGCCCGCGGTCCCCACATCTCCGCGGCAATATAGACGAACGTTTAGGGCTACATTACCGCGGGTCGGTTCGATAAATCACCTCCGTCGGTGCCAATGATCGTCTACCGTGTCTCACTCTCTCGAATATAGCGGAAGAGAAGACACACGTACCAGAGTAAGGACAGAGTCCAAGAGCATTTATTAGCATACTCTTCTATATGAACTACTATGTCCCCATCCAAAATGCCCCCCGCGTCCGGCAAGGTAAGAAAAGGTCCTTACCTGCCAGACGCGGGGATCCGGAGAGCCAAGACCGGGGAAGCGTCGGAAAAGTCGCCGACGCACGTCCTATCTCTTTCGCGGTCACCCGGACGAGTCCCTTTCCCGAAAGCGGGAAAACAAGAGGCGAAACCTCCTCGCCTGTCGGCAGTGATTCGCATCCGAGCGGGGGGACGGAAAGAGGTCCCCCCCGGGAGAGAGTGAGAGGAGAGCCCCCCAAGCCAGGCGGCCCTCCGCCTCACGAACAGGTAGGAGCTCACGGCGAAGAAGGCCGAGCGTTCCGACCCGCGGCCGTTATCACAGCCATCGGGGAAGGGAGACCAGAGGAATCCCCACAAGCTGACTTCTCATTCTTCGGAACTTGGGTGCCTAAGGATTCTTACAATGGGCACCAAAGCAGCGTTTGGAGAGTTCAGTCTAGATTCGGGCAAAAGACCCATTACCGGGTCTGTGGTAATAGTGCAATCTGTTTGGGTTGCTCCACTGCGTTGTGGGGAGACCGCTTGAACTCTGCAAGCATTGCTCCTCTGCGCACTGTGAAAACCCCGAAGTTTGAGACCTTTCTCCTTCCTCTCGACTCGACAAAAGCGAACCAATTTTCTTTGAAGCAGATAAGAAGTTCGAAAATTAACTAGTCGAACCTCAAACTTCGACGTCGAACCTGAGGTTTCGACAAAAATTCGCAGAATCTTTAGAAATAGCCCAAAATAGCCACATAGCCAAAACGAAATTTTGACGCCAACTAGAAAAAAATGTAGCCCAATTTGGCTATATATAGTCCAATCTGGCAACACTGCGCGCGATCTCGCTGTTCCCCCGAAATCGGGGAGACGCGCGGAGGAGTGCGAGAGAGTAAGCCAGCATGGTGGCGTGCTCTCTCCGACACGATACGGAACGAGCCGGCTCGAAGCCAGACAGCTCCGGCCGTAACGTCCGCGGCTTACGCCTTCTCAGGGGAGGGGAACCAGTGGCTCCCACAGGTTTCATTACCTGAAAACAGGAAATGGCTCAAGGAAGGAAAATACACAACACTTTACATGTATAGCGAAGGACATGAGAGAAATCGACCTTGATCGGGAAATAATTATCATAGGAGACATGAATGCCCACTTAGAAGAGTTTGATGGATTCACAAATACAACCGGAAAGTTGTTAGATTTCTTTGATGCCCTGGGCCTAGTGATAGTTAATGCACAAGTAAAATGTAACGGGAAAGTAACGTGGGAACGAAACAACTCACTCGACAATAGACTACTGCCTCATGTCCCACAAAGTGTATGACAGGCAAGGAAGTATGGAAATAGATGAGGAAGACACAAAAAGCTTAGGAAGTGACCACAAAAGAATTAAGATTAAATTTAGCACATCCTAACCAGAACAAAAAGCTCAGAGGAACGAGCAGGTAAAGGCCCGTTCACACTCTTGCCAAACTGGGTTCCTTAAAACCTCTTACAACGAGAGGACACACTGGCACCATCTGTTGGGTAGAAGTGTAAACTTGGTGGTCCAGCACGTTTTCTATTTTTCTCGGGCATTACCCTTTCTTTCTTGGCTCGAAAAACTTTTGTCAACGTTATAAACGAGCCTTCCTCATAGGTATTACGCACACTTGACCTTGGAAATCCCGCAAAACCTTCGCTCTTGTGAAGCGCAGTCCCAGGGTCGCCGCATAGATGGCGCCAGAATGCCAGTGTGTTCCCTCATCCTAAGAAATTTTAAGAACTTTTAACAGATCTTGTCTCTCTCGGTTGTACTCAGTTGCAAGAGTGTGAATGGGCCTTAAGCCGAAACTAAGTGAAGCTCAAATACAAAAAGGTATCTAAAAATATTGAGAACATGATATCGAAACAACAAGGAGTGGAGGTATTCAGAAAAAAAAAACTGATATTCCACACTATGTGAGAAGCCAAACTCAATAGTTTGCAGCCACAACTCCAGAAATTGAGGATCACTATAAAAATTGTGTTTATTGTGACACGTAATGAAAAATATGACAATAACTTGGAAACAACCAAAAAGTGGGAGGACTGCCCAACATCAGCTGCACTTTGCTCAGGGTGCACATCAGGTCCAAGGGGCCTGATTCTGGAGCTGGACCTCAATCTCCGTTCCAAGGCACAACCTTGCGATCGTTCCAGACAAACTCTCCCCTGGGAGATTTGACGTTGGGTGGGAGCAGGGCCAGGTAGGTCGGGGCATCCGCTCCTGTTTGATAAAATGGAATGAAGCAAGAAAAAACGTTGGGTAGTTTGCATGCTAAACCAACGATGGCCATCCGGCAGGCCAAGAGTTAAAAGGATTTCTGACAACCTGCAATCGAAATCTCAGTCACAGGACTCTACACAATAATAACAGTGAATTTAATGGGAAACCTCAAATAGACTCCTCGTGTAGAAAACTTTCCTACTTGTGCTTAATTTTATCTAAAGTGCATACCGTATTTACTCGGGTGATAGCCGCACTGTTTATGAAGAAAACCTGAGAGTTTGCTTTTCTGCACAGCATGCGGCTTGCAAATAACCGCGATCGACAGCATGATTCCAGCTGTTTACAGGACAGAGATAACATCTTCGCGCAAAGATACCATCTGTGAAGATTGCATTTGTATGGAGAATCGTGTTTTTGATCTAGTTATTCGCTACATTATTTATGCGCAACGTGATGATTGGCTGTATACGTGCTCTGCGGTAAAGTAAACACAAGGGCCTTGTCCATAAACAGTGCGGCTATTACTCGAGTAAATACGGTAAATATTTTGATACTGAAATGCTGAAAACTTTGTATCTTAGCATTTTTCTATAACATCTTGCTTACCGGATTGAGCCATGGGAATTCATGTATAAAACATGCATCAAACCCGCCCACCAAGACTCATCCTGCTCCGCCCTACATGGTAAGCTCTTGATTCCAATCTTGCATCATTACGGCCAGTGCTGCCTAAAGTATACCGGAGTTAAATTATGGAATGAGATCCCTTCAACAACTCTGAATTCTCCTAATGGATACGCAGCGCCTAAAGGGACACTGACAGGGTGTTTATGCTCGCCAAGGTGAAAGCCCAAATACCCAGAACACAATTTGCGGCTCGAAGTTCTAACTGGCCGTTTTGAGTCACGCTCATTCTCTTTTCCATGGTCACGAACCCTTTTCTAAGGTTTAGACACAACCACCAAATTTAATCAAAAGTTGCGGGTCATTGAAGGCACTAGCTCAATAATAAAAATAGAAAAAAAAATGAAACCCACTTTTTGTGGCTTCCAAAAAACTGCAAATACAATAATTGAAAAAAAAAAAAAATTGCAGAGAACCGGAAGCATTTTTTGCGTTCACTGCGTAATTCTCAACATAGCGTGGTATCGCGGGACTCGCGGACTGAAAGGCGATGGCAGCGGACTTCAGAACTGTCGTTCGCGGTATTGGGGAATTTGTCTTCCTTCGAAAGAGAACATGTTCGACCACCAAGCCAATTCGCACAAAGACGTTGCCGAGTCATTGCCCTTCTCGTGGCTAAAAACATCGCTCGGGCAGTTGTCTCGTGGCTTAAAAAAAATCGCTCGGGTATTTGGATCTCGTATAAAATGATACCTCAAAACGACTATACTCTGTTTCATACTTAGCGTGCAACGCTGTCAAAGCTACTGGCGCGAGCGTGGGGCTTGATCTCGTTGATCATTTGCACGCCTTCTCGCGCAAACAAAACCTTAGATGAAGCCACGCGCTCGCGCCAGTAGCTTTGACAGCGTTGCACGCTAAGTGTGAAACAGAGTATTGTTAAAACTGTAGAGTACATAGATCAGTAGAAAGGTATCTGCTTCACATGCAGCAGACCCTGGTTCAATAAAAAGCATGGGCAAACGTTTCTTCTTTTTTTTTTTTAACATTTTGTGATGTTTACATTATTTTTTACCAATTGTCAGTGAAAAAAAAAAAAGAAATGTTGTGGACGAAACGCTGCTAAACTAAATGGTATGTGACTCCCTCTTTGACACCTGCAAACTCAGTGTAGTCAGTTTCCACAAAATGCAAGGAGCATATAAATCACATAACGTCCGCTTTCCAATGTGCTCATAACCGTTCAGCAAGAATTGCAGCCTGCCACTGGTCCCGATCCTGTTGATCTTTCGGAAATTTGTGCCGACTCTGCCACACAACGCCACTTTTGGATACAAAACCTGTGGGGCAGCTCTTCACGCAACATCTTGGGGGCATTCTTTTTGGAGCCGATCACGGGCATTCACCAGAGGCTACTACTCATTTCCAACTCTTTAATGTACAAAAACAACTTATCTTTAAGTGCAGAACAGCGAGCAAAACAAACATAACTACAAAGCAATCACACAACAAAACAATGCCCACAACGCTGTAACAACGTCTTCTGCGCCCCCGCGTCCTGCCCACCCCCCCCCCCCCCCCCCGCTCCCCCCCCCCTATCCCCCCCAAAAAAACACATTTGAGTGCAGTTACGTAACTCCTGGCACTCCCTCCTCCTCTATATTTCTCCGACCTCCGTGAGCAAGTTTCAGTTTCGAGCAGTTACGCTTCTTGGCTTTATTAAGAATATAAGTGACTGTAGCAAAATATTAATTGGGTAGCCTTCTGACGACATATTAAATCGACTGGCAAAAACTTAAAATTGTTTTTTGGGGGAGTGTCAGTGTTCCTTCAAGAGGGTTTTCAAGACAACTGTTCCTACTGAGGGGCGGGGAGTGGAAAAGTGTAGATGTGTGGGTAAAAAAACTTGACTCGATTAATATTTATTTCTGAACTTCATTATCATACATTGCGCCTAAGTAATGGAATGAATATATAGATAATATTTTGTGTTCACAAAATGAACAACTTTCAAATTTTTATTTACTATTTACTAATGTGCAACTAGGTATAAAATAGAAAGTTGCATGGTATTAAAGATGTTTCTCATGTACTTTGATATAGAAGGTTCATTTATCATTGAACTAGATAGTAAATATATCTTTTTATGGACCATCGCACTTGAATAGTGTGTACATCTGTATATGCTTCGATTTGTCGCTTTATTTTTGTATTGGCTTTAAAGGACCCGTCAGCAGCCATTGGCTATAGATCCTATTAAAGGCGGGCGCTCAAAATTTTCTTCAGCGTGGCAGAAGATTCCCCCTCTTTTCTTTTCTTCCTCCTCCCCTTTCCTCCTCCATTCTCCTCCTCGCTTTTTACAACCTTCTCGCACGAGTGCTAATAGGCTTACCGGCCCCCCGACAAAATCTCTGTAACCCTTCAAGGTTCTCTGCTTCAATCCCAAACACCAGGGATTAGTTAGGCAGGCTGGATATGAGTTCGGAAGGGTTCGGGCTGGCTCGCTTTTCTTCTTTTTTTTTTTTCTTTTGCTCTTTTTCTGCAGTTCTAAAAAACACTCAGATAGTCAACACCAACTAACTTTTACATTCAGATACTTCCGCATGCGGCCACACACGCTACAACACCGCATATTTATCTCGAGTGAACGGAACTTGAACATCACAGCAGAAGGAAAAAAGATGGGTATTTTTATCCGATCTTTGAGCTCTACCCAGAGAGTTGAAAATTTGTCGTTCTAACAACGGCACACTGAATTGTGATTTTATCACTCTTGTGTTTTTGTTTTGTTTTTTTGTTTTTTGTACAAACTAATAATCATGAGTAATTACAAGTCAAAGATATTGCAGTCAGAGGGACACAGTCTGACCATTTCAGACATAATATATACGTTCGTACTACAGGTATTTTCTAGAGTGACGGCCGCCTCGTTGAGGCTACTAAGAAGAGTAAACACAAACTTCCATAAGAACTGAAACGGTTTATGGTATATTTCATCTATCTTCAGCCTTTGAAAAAAATTTTTTCGTGGCCAAACGTGCAATTAGTTTCTGTCAACAAATGTAACTGAAAACTTGACACCCGACAAATATCTTGCGTATTAGCAAAGAGAACGGGAAACACGGAGATTAAACCGAAAAATCACAATTTTCTTCGCGTAAAATAGTGCAACTAGCAATAGTAGCATATTATGCCATTTATTAAAAGACAGCAGGTATTACGAAGTTTTCATTCTCTTCTGTTCGCATTTGTTCGCTGATGAAGAAATGGAATGCCCAGATAGCCTCTGCAGCCCTTACATAATTGTTTGGGGCTTTGTCAGGGTGGGCGAAGGCCATCTCCAAAAAAACCCAGGAGTTCGGAAGCTGTACTACCGCAAGTTTTGGGGCTGCTTGGCTAATTTAGGCGTCTGGCATTCCCCGCCTACTTAGAAAAGAAGCGGAACAGCGGTCAGCTCAACGTCGTCACCAAGCGGGAAATCATGCCGAAATGTGTCCTTGAACACGTGCGAGATCGAACCCAACCGGGATTCGCCACAATTCATCTACGAAAAAAACTATAAAAAGGGGTAGGCTTAAACTATTTGGCAGTTTTTGAATTTAGTCATGCAGACTAACTGTCCACAAGTACGGAAAGAAATGCGATAGAAATGCAGAGCTCTATTGTGTTCTTTATGTCCATACTTGTCTATCGCGCTGTACGCCAATTAAAATGAATTCTCCAATATCTGTAGATTATGCCTGGTTATGTTGTCTTTAAAAGAAAAGTAATCAAGCAAGTTCGGTATCGTGCCACCGATTTGTGCATATACAATTTTATGTGGAATTCAAAGTCAAAACAGTACTTCCGCGGGAAATAATGCATCTGTCGTTCTTCGTCTTCCTGAAGCTATGAACTACCGATCTCGGCTACAGGACTTTTGGGCCCACAAAATATCACGCTCAGTAGAAAATTCGCCTTTTCTACCAAAAGTACTGGAAATTATTTATTTTTCAAACAGGTCGGGTGGTGAAGCGTGTTTGAGTGTAGGACCGTTGACTGGGCACTGGTTTGCGCCAAGAGTACAGTGCTTCCATTCATGCTGCCCGCGACGAGTGTTGAAATTTGAATATAGTAGAAATAAAATCAACTGACACCCTTAGAATTATTTTAAACTCGCGCTTTCTTCAGGCAATATGATTTCGATCCTACCTTTTATTCATTGTCGTCTTCGATGAGGGAACAACTTGCCGAGGAGGCCGCGCTGTGCTCGTACGTGGCTTGACAGATAAGGTCGCGAACGCTTTTCACGAATCTTTAAAGACCAAGCATAAAAATGAAAGACTTTACGCCAATGAAACCAACTTTATGTTTTGGGCAGACGTCTTGCGAGAGTTGCAGTATTTTAATTATGCCTAATAAAAATAGATGTTTAGGACTAAGTACCAAACTTTTTTAGATGTATTAGGAACCAAAATGTCAATTGGAAAGTTCTAGAACTGCTTGAGAAACACCCGATTAGCTGTTTGCAACGTGATACGGCTTGCGTGGCTTCCTTCTGACTCGTAATAAAGCTTATGAAACATGACAAAATACCCCGTGATAAAGCGCCCGCCCTATCATAAACTCAATTTCGAATGTCCCGGGATTTGTTTTCATAGGCCGGAAAAAAAAAAAAAAAAAAAAAAAAGATGCATGCAAGACGCGGTGCCCCACGCTTTATTTATATCAGAAAAGAACTGCCTTCTGTTTTATATACAATGTTTTTTTTACTTTCTAGATATTAGGAAAAACGTGGAAATTAACGTTTTGTGGACGTGAGCTATATACGGCCAGGCGAAGATTGGGTTCAAGAAAGAACGCAACAAAAACCGACTGATTACCTAACATTTGTTAATGAACTTTTTGATTATAAAAGAGAACGGGATAGTTGATTTATAAAGTTCTTGGGCGTAATCGAAAGCCACCAAATTGTCCAGTGAAAATTAGCGCTATTGCGGTTTGTGTAGGTGAGCTATACGGCTAGGTGAGGATTAGGTTCAATAATGAACGCAACTAAAACCGACCGATTGCCTAAAATTCGCTAATTAACCTTTTAATTAGAAAAGAAAACGGCATCTTGTATTTAGAAAGTTGTTGGCCATAATCGCAAGCCACCAAACCGTCCATTCTTAAAAAGATGTAACGCGCGTACACTATTATACGGCGTCCTCCTAATTTTGGCGCGAAAATATAGTTCTGATTTTATGTGGGCTCCATCTCCGCGTGGCACAGCCTAACGCCATGAAGCCAAAGCGACAAATCATGCGCATCGCTGTGACAACGCTACTGTAGAAGGGGCGAGGAGTGCGGTGGGCGAAAGGATTGCGGTAACATGATTCACGTCCAAATTAGGCTTTTTAGGACGCCGTGAACCACTTCACGTGCACTAAATCTCTTTAAAAATGAATGATTTGGTGTTTTTGATGACTACAGATAAGGTACAAACCGCAATTGCGTAACTCCGACGTCCTTTCTAGAGAAATGTCTAGTCGTTAAAAAAAAAAAATCGCCCTTTACAAGCACGATTGTAAGGCAGTTCTTTACGTCCGGCGACATCATTACGGCATCGAAGGAGACGTTGACCACAGATCATACGCTGTGTATGATCTGTGGTCACTGTTTTTTTCGTACGAGAATGAGCAAACATTTGATACCAAATAAAATAGATGTAGCATTCACGAAATTCGACTTGTTTACTTGCTTCAAATCAATATTTGATTTGATTACACTTATTTTGTACCCGTACACGCCTACTTTATTCCCTAATGAGTTACAAGTGATAATTACATTGTTTTTTTGTCGTGCGAGGTCATCGCAATTTATTATTAACAATCGGAGCTATGCAATTGCGCGGAGGAAGCGCATTTGAAGATATTCAAAATTGTTCTGAATACACAAACGACTTCAAACGTCTTCCTGTTTGGGTCCTTTCCTACACGCAGGACAGTAATAAAGCCAAAACCTCATAGAGGAGACTATCTCTATCAACTCAACCCGCAAACACGATGTGAAGCGTGTCTTCGTACGTTGTAAAAGAGATACCGGCGAGCAAACCATAGCGTCGAATGTCCATGCATCAAAATGTTCGTGCACCGAAATATCCGCGCACCGAAAAGTCCCACACCGAGAAGTCTTTGCAGCAAAGGGTCCGTACACTGAAATGTCTGTGCACCAAAAAGTCCTCACCGAAATGCCCTACAGCAAAACGCTCTACACCGAAAAGTGCTAGACCCACTACGGATGGGATCCTCCGTCACCTCTGCCGGTTTACGAACCATGATGATTCAGAACCACTGGTCTATGGAGCGCCATCCCTGATATACAGAAAATGCCGCTTGTACTTCCCGTTGTTGCCATGAATCCGCCTAAACAATGAAAGGTGCCGAATCAGATATTTATATTAAAATTGATACTTCAATGACTACTTCTTTGAGCAGAACGAGGCATTTTTGCTCTCACAACAGCAAAGAATCGTCTTCCAAACCAATGCTAAAAAAGAGCCAATGCAACTGGTTGGGAAGAGCAAGTGCCAAGCTCGCTCAAAACAGCTACTCGGTTGGTTCAGCTCCTTGTCGCAGGTGTGTCGGCTGGCTTCTGGATAATCTTTTCAAATCCTTGAAGCTTTCATTTCCTCCACCCCAAACTTGTAAAAAAAAAAAAAAAAAAAAAAAAAAAAAAAAACCAGGCAGTTGGCAAAAAAAAAAAAAAAAAAAAAAGATCGGAAAATGGCGAGGAGGAAACGAGAGGCAATTTCCTCCTTTCACAGTGGCGAGAAGGAAAGTGAGGGTCGGGTTCCTTCTCTCTGCTTGCGGGCTGGCCTTTAAGTGCACGTGCTTCCATTTGTATTGCTTTTTCTCATAAACAAAGAAAGTATGAGAGCCTCCGTCAGATTCCGGAAACCTCGGCCAGGCTTTGACCTCACCCTTGGCATCCTAGGAGTATGCAGACGTTTTGTTCCGGGGCTACAGCTAGACACCATAAAGGGAAGAACCACATATTGTCCCCTAAACCAGACACAAACAGAACTCGCCCAGATACAAACAAGCCGCACCTGGCTACAAAAGTCACGTCTCCTTAAAAAAAAAACACCTCCGTTTCGCCCCACAAATCGTCTACAACGAACAGTAATTCGTAATAACCGAGATAAAAATGCGTGCATTTACCCAGTTTTTCCCCAAAAATTTTGTCTACCGAAGTGCCCACGATGACAGGGTTCATATCAACTAGACACGATTGTAGATGCCCTCTTGTGGAATCTGCCGTCAAGCAGTCGAGCGTTCCATCCTAGCATTTTGGCAGCCTCAGAACAATATACCAATTTCTGAGTTAACGAGACGTTTCAAGACTCTGTACCCATTAGCTAAAAGAAACTGTCGAGCGTGACACAATTATTCGGTATGCGAAAGAGACGAGAGTTTACCTTGATCGGGTGTCAGAGGACCTCTGTGGCTAGTCATGTCAGTGTCCACGTATCCCGGATGCACCTTGAAAATGAATGGGAAAGTCTTTTAACACTGCGTATGATAGTAGATAACAAGTTCTCACGCTGCCTCCACTTTTGCTTGTTGTGGATTAGTGTTAAAGGCAATGAAGCAATACTTGGTTTGCCAACTATCTCAAACACTAAAACAATTAGCAGTTATGAAAACTATTTTCGTTCAGCATGTTACGGTAAATTGGACAAAAATTTCAAGCACGAGGGAAGCAAGTCTCAAGAGAAAAGGAGTGTTAGGGAGTGATTTGTACCTGAAGCGGCACTTTGAGAACACTGCTAGCATTTGCATTTTATTCTAAGCACTTTCAAGAAGCATGTGCTTGCGCTGTACTGCGGGTATGTTTATTCTGGTAATTTACGCTAATTTTGATTGGCTGTTGGGAAACGAAGGGAGCTTACTGCGTTGACGACCAGATCCGAGCGGGAGTCTTTGTCAAACTCTCGCTGCTGAATGAAGCTGAGTACAGTGACGCCGACCTTGGATACATTGTAGGCAGATTGTCCCCAGCCATTCTCGACATTCACACCGTCCTTGGAGTCCCTGCAGACGCAGTTAAACGAAGCTGTAAGTTCAACTCTTGTATTGCGAGCAACGCAGTTCAGCCACACAAGCTCTTGGGCATTGGTCACGGCCCCTATCAATTCAGCGTCAGAGGAATTACAGAATTTCGCCGACGTGCAGGTGCGCTTATGTTGACCAAACCGGCAGATGCATGAACGACTGCACCCACAAACATGCGGCGGCTTCGAAAGCATGCCTGTCGGGACATCCTGCCATTCGCTGCACTAGGTGCACTGTTCTTCTCCATCTTCGCGACATAGAGATCTTGGCGAGATACACATAAAAGGAATCCGAGGGAAATACAAGAAGCCCATGTAATGAGAACACAAGGGGATGACTGTGTTGGCAAGGTTTCTCTAGCCCTATCATGAGCTGAACTTGAATCCTTCTCTTCTCTCCTTACCTCTCTTCAGTGTGCCTCAGCACTCCTCCTTTCACTTTCCTCTCTTCTGGGTGATTTCGCTACGCGGAAGAAAGGCAAGGAGGACGAGAATGTTGCCCTTGGCGTGTACGTGGGGCGACGTGGTGGCGACGTTATGTACCCATTTTTGGCGCACACATTTGAAAGCTGTAAACTAAAACCAAGTCTAATGTCGTAAACAATTTTACAATTTTTTTTTGCAGTCATTTTATTTTTTGATTATTTATTTTTCTAAATTTATTAAAATATATTTTTTTGTCTTCTTTAGTGGTTTTTTTAAGAACAGAAAGGCTCATGCCAACTGGAAAATTACCAGCCTTTTGCGTTGGCCTATAATATCTGTTTTTTTTTGTTTAATTTTTTTAACAAACTTAGTTGAAAGTGTCGGCTGTCCTGTTTCAGCCTATCTTCATCCCTGTGTTTATTCGGCACATTTTTCTTGCAACTAGACCACTTGTAACTGTTGTAACTGAAAAATAGGATCGGCAGAGACAGTGGTGAACAAAGGCTTCCAGTTCGAAGCCAACTGTATTAGTCAAATGAGGCACTTCAACGGCTTGATGACGGCAATTCACTCTGGGGATCCATAGTTGTTGAACTCACAAGCGAACAATTGCAAATAGATTTAAAAATAAGAATTACATGCACAGTAGCAAGAGCAACCAGTGGGGAAACTTACTGAACAAACTTCTTCATGAGTTCCACAAGCTCCTCTAAGGTAATGTTGGGATTGTTGAGCTTGTCCCTCAGTTCTTGTCCCGGGATGACCTTCAACATGCCGCACATGCTGCTCACATTTACCACCCTGTACAAGGAATAAATATGTATAGATTACCATCATGTTGCCAAAAGATGTACTGCAAACTACAGTCCCATTCACTCTGAACCCTGAATTTGCTTAACTGGTCATCGCGCAGCAACAGCAATGAGGATGAACAAATATGGAAAAATACAGCTGCAGTTTATTGGAACGAACATGTGTTGAAATAAAACTAAAAAGACAAGGCACTTTAAGTACCAGAGTTTACTTCCAGCTTGCCTTGTATTTTTAGTTACAATGCTCATAGTAGTGAACAACCAGGCCATTGTATTCTGCTGAGCACAATGGGGGAAAACAAAGGCGGTCATGTGCCACTTGGAAGAGGTAGTAGTGTTTTCACTAGCTTCACACCACCAGAACAAAGTTAACAACAATAGTGCTAAAGCCCAAGTCGGCAAAATCCGTCATGGTGGCGACGGACATTAGCGTGCAAAAGTTAAAGTTTAGGTCCAACGAAAAAAAAGCTGGTGAGCATCCCTTTCCATGGTTACAAAGAAAGACCAAACCTGGCATGAGGGCGCAGCAGCGGAAACAGCTCCTTGCACACGCTGAGCGTGCTGAAGAAGTTTGTCTTCACGGTAACCTCAGCCTGCTCAGCAAAGGGCGCCGTGGAGTTATGCTGCAGATTGGCATACAAGAGCTTAAGATACTGAGAATGCAAACATCCACAACTTTCATGAAATGGAAACAAATCATACCCTACTGGTTCAAGACATTTCAAACACTTTTAAGCAATTTTTGACTGTATCTAGCATACTCAAAGCTGCATGGCAGCAATAGCAATTGCTGAGTACAAAGGAATCAACAGAGCTTTGACCTTGTGATTGTGTGGAGCTGAGCTGGTTGGTTATTCATGCTTGTGAGATTTGCCAGCTGAACAAAGGAAGAAATATACAAGATAGAAAGAGACAAGGAATATACACATGCACTCGGCTGGACTAACAACCATTTACTGAATAACTTGTTTCCTTCATTGACTTTCAGCAATAATGAAGGTCGACAAAAGAAAAGAAGTTATTCAGTAAATGGTTGTTTGTCCAGCAGAGTGCATGTGCATGTTCCTTGTCTCTCTCTATCTTGTATATTTCTTCCTTCGTTCAGCTGGCAAATCTCAAAAGCTTTGATCTTCATTGCCTATTTAACAAAGATAAGACGGAGATAAAGAAACATGAAGAGTTGGAGCACTACTGACAAATGAGTTTTATGTGAAGGAACACAAACATATATACACACTTGATTATACTTCGCTCTAAATTAATCTGAACTCCTCAACTGATAAAACGAGTGCCAACACACTAATGCAGCCAAAATCTCCCATTACCCCGATTTTGAACATCCCTTTCTATTTTGGTTGAAACAAATTTTGGGCAAGTACAAACCAAAACAGAGAGGGAAAGTTTTAAGGCATTCAAAATCAGGGTAAAAGAGGATGACGGCTGCATCATTACATTCTCGCTTGCTTTAACAGATAAGGAGTTCAGATTATTTTCAAGTAAGTATAATCAAGTGTGTATATATATATGTTTGTGTTTTTCCAAATAAAATTCAGTTATCAGTAGCACTCCGTGTGTCCACTGCTAAACTTTGCTTGTTTTTGGGGGCACTTTTTTGTAGTAACTAAAATCACTGTCTTGCTCTTAATTTTTTACAGGGCCACACCAATAAAAATAGATGATGTTTTGTCTCTTCATTGTTTTTTCACAACCTCAGGTTTTCATGAACCTGATGATTGGTAAGCTTAATAATCAACAACTTTTAGGTAAAAAAGGTATGCCAAATCAATCACTTATATCACTTAGCATGAATGTCCATCCTAAGTAAGCAATCTAAAGCAAGATTTCTTGGCAATTACTTAGCTATAGCGGACCTATATGGCTAAGGAATGTGTTTCATCAGTACTATATGTGTAGTATGCCTTGCAATGGCAGCAGTATTCACTTTGTAAGCAATTCCAGCATTGTTGACCAGCACGTCGAGTCCTTCGTAGTTCTGCTTCAGGTGGTCACGAAATTTACGGATGCTTTCCAGGTCATCAATGTCAAGCTGATGGAACTTCGGATGAAGCAGCATCTTGTTCAGCTCCGCTACAGCAGCATTCCCCCGTTTCTCGTCTCTGGCTGCTCGAGAGAAGAGACCATGTCATTTAAAAATTGCATTCTAATTGCCCACTTTACAAAAGGCCGGGAGATGTCATCTTTTCTCTGACCTGTCAAGTAAACGTCTCCATCGAACTTCTGGCAAAGGAACTTCACAATGCAGAAACCAATGCCTTTGTTGCCTCCCGTAACCTGGAGAGAGAGAGAGAGAGAGAGAGAGAGAGAGAGAGAGAGAGAGAGAGAGAGAGAGAAGTAAATTTATTAAATTTGAGATCTACGCAGAGAGGATCGGTAGCCGAGTGTGTTAGCGCACCGCGGCTCAGCTCACGGAGCGACAGCTCACGGAGCGAAAGCTCGCGCTGCTCACTCCCCACCCCTGCCTGTTTCGATCTGGATGACCTTCATACCGGTTGCGGTCAAACATTGATGCCGGCTCGATGGCCTGTCCTAGATATGGCGAAGCCTCTACGCCGCCCGTGAATCCCTGCGTGCAGCTTCGCGGCGACAGTCCGTAGCGGCTCATTACGAAAATGTTAACCCCCTTAACTCACCCGTACACAAATATAGCGGAGGAGGGCAGTGCACGATCCTGCTCCTTTATCACGTGTGTACTTTTCCCATGCGTAAATCAGCTGTCCTCTATCTAATGAAGTATAGAGAACACCGGAGAATTCGCGACCCGATAATGCAGCTGGAGATGTTTACATTTACAAATAAAGACTCGTTTCCGGGCATTACTCAGCGGCAACGCCTTCCCACGACCGGCCTTTGCCTTTCGAGATGCACAAGGCTCAAGGCTTCCGGCGTATCTCGGTGATCTCGGTAGACAGAGCACAAGTAAAAACGCTGCGTCTGCTTGGTAGCTTACCACGGCAACCCTAGAAGACATGTTGATCGTTTTGTTCCCTGGATCACAAATGAATAACCATACAGGCAGTGCGCGGAATAAAGTTTGGTACCAATCGCAAAGATCGGAAATTCGCACACTTGCAAACAGAAGTGTTGCCAGATGGTCCCACCAAAAAACCGCCAAACGGCTGGGAGGTATAGCCCAAATGAGTTAGTATGTATGATCTCTATGGCCCAAATATAGCCAAAGCCACAACGAAAATATACCCCAAAACCCCCAAAACAGCCAAGACTAAAAACAATTTTTAAGCCTTTTATTTGCCCTTCATTGACAATTTTTCACACACGTAAAAAAAAGAAGACACGTTGAATTTTTTTTTTCAACCCCCAGATGCGCCAGTTTTTGTGTACATCAAATCACTTAAAAAAAAAAAAAAAAAAAAGATTCTGAAAGATGATAGTTTGTGAAACAATGACCCATCCTTCGTAGGTTTTCATAAGTACAAAACACACAAAGACAGCTGTATAGGCAGCCGGCAATGGCCAGGCGGCGCCACGAGAGCACTGCATTCAGCGCCACAAGCGGAAGCGTCTCTATTAAAGGGGCGGTGCAACGATTTTCGGACTTCGGTCAAAGATTTCTGGAAGTTGTCCCCTGACACTTCTGAAGTAAAGAACAGAAAACCGATTTCGGCTGCGTGTCCTAGTTGTTGCGTAAAAAAAAGATAAAGATTGGTATTTCGGGCACCCCTCAACTCACTCCCAGTCTTCAGGGTCACACCTGGTCGCACTCCCTGTGACGTCATTCGGAGTGCCGTGTAGCTTCCCGTGTGCGATCTCGGAGGACGCTTCCCCTCCCTCTCTCTGCGTAAATTAGCGGGCGCTATGCTGCAGCTTAGAGCCGAGCGAGGTCACGTAATCTTTCCGCCGTAGTTCCTTCGGCTGCCACTTGGGGCTGCAGGTGGGGGAAAAAACTCGACTTTTGCTTTGCGATTATGCAGCGGAATCGCGACATTTTTAATGAAGGAAGTGTTTTCTCTATCCTCTGGGACACGATAAACAACGTAAAAATGACGAGATGCAAATTCTTTTAATCATAAAATCGTTGCACCGCCCCTTTAATGGGACGGCCAGTTTTCCCGCCGGGCCGTTGCGAGCGGCGGCGACCCCGATTTCAGCAGTCCCCGTGTGTACCTGCGTCCCTGGTTCTTTTATGCGGTTTTTTAATTGAAAGCCTTTATAGGTCCAAGTGCTGAGAGAATATTCTAGAGTCGTCATTCGAACACCAGTTTGAGTTGTCTTCTACTTGTGGCCGCCCGGCGCCCGATCGGTCTGTGCTTCGCTCGTTTCCCAGGAAGTGACACAATACAACAAATGGGTTTATTGTACATCCCGGTTGCCCGTCTTCGAGAACCGGCACCCTGGACCCGCCGACCCTAGTTGTCGCCCGTCGTTCAGAGCTCACAGTCGGGGCCCGTGTCCAGGCCTGCGGATCGCCCTTCCCACGCCAGCGCTGCGTAGGCTAGCTGTTCTGGGCTATCACTGCCAGAGTCTCGCTGCGGAACCACTCCGGGATCGTCATGGACTAGACCAGTATGGTCAGGGTTCGCCGCCTTCCGCCGGTCCTGATCCGAACTTCGCTGGTGGAATGCTCCTGGGAATCGCCATGGGCCAGACCAGCCAGAACGGCTCTATCGTTCCTGCCTGGCCCCAGCCTCGCGCAGCACGCTCTTCCTCTTTCCTCGCCGGCTGGCCCCCGCTCGCGCCTCGCTCGGCCGTCCTCTCCTCCCGACACCCACACACACTAGAATAAAATTTGGGTAATTAGAACCAAACTCTGCATGCTACAGAACCGTACGCACATTGCAAAGCCTGGTGTAAAATGGCGACAGGCAACGAGGTGTACGCGTAAAAAGGATATTTACGCTTCGCATGAGATTTTTCTAAAGAAAAACTTTAGCATCCTGCTTTCTGCATGCCGTCACAATTGTTACTAGACTCAGCATTAAATTTGGTTGCTGAAACAAACAAAATTTTGTGCTACGAAAATCCACTATTTGAAAACTCGCAGGTTTGGAAGGTTTTGGTTGCGACCACGCGTGCCGAACGGCATTAGGAGTGCCGGAACGGGCCGACGAGCCTTTCGCCTGAAGACCTGATCGCCCGATTCTCGACGCCACAGCGAAGCAACAATCGCCCCGATTGTTCCTATCGCATTTCCCTAATGTGGCTGTCAAAGCGACTCGTAATACAACTTGTATAAATATGTTATTTTGCCGAGTAGTCCGCAAAATGAGTTTCTTCCGACCACTTTCCAAGCCTGCACATATATTTTCGTTCACTTCCCTCCCAACAGTTTCTGTAAAATTCACTTACTTGTTCCGTCGCACTGCAGTAATCCACTTCTGTCGCCGTGTCGCTTCCCAAGATCTCGAAGGGAAGCTGGAGAAGCGGTGAAGTTCGATCCTTGAGTCACCCTCGCGACTGTGGCCGTCTTTCATGCAGCAGTAGCAATGTTTATTTTTTGGAAGAACTCCAGGAGTAGGCGAGATGTCACAGGAACCCGGTGAGGTTATAGAGACGTGAAGTTGGGACTTACTTTTACGAAAAACGGATCCAAAAAAACTCACGGCGATCTGAAAAGCAACGTTCACACGTGGTTTCTGCATGCGCCTGCCCGCAGCCCCCGCGACCCGTGTAGTCCTGGCCTACCCAGTTTCTTTATTTTGCAGCCGCTAGATGGTGCAACGTGTAGCGCCAAACTGCATTGCAGGTTGCCTATGGCTGTATTGTGAAGCCGGGGAGATATGATCATACAGTAAAAGAACAATACAGAAGCAGAACAGTCAGAACACTGGGAGTTTCAAACCAGAACGGCCAGGCGGCGCCAGCAGAGTAAGAGCGCGGTTATACCCTGTCTAGTTGTAACTTGGCAAAGGGTGAACGATAAGCCCCACACCTCATGCCGAAGGCTTCGAAATGCGCGACGTATACAAGCGCAACGCATACTTATTGGAGCATGACGCAGCGAAAAGCCTGATACTTCTTCGGAGTTGAGGCGCGCTCCGGTGATACGCAGTCATGTTCTGATTGGCCCGCCAGGGCCGTAGCTTCCGCTCTACTGGCACGTTACGAAATCACGGCTTCCTGGGATACCCTGTATTTCTTGCTTCAGACACTAGGCTAAGCGGCGCCATCAGAGTAATAGCTCACATTTGAACAATGCAGCCGCCACTCCCAGGGTATGGTGCATGGAGTGCATCTCCGACTGGTGTGTTTAGCGTCCTACTCCGCCCATACATCACAAGTGGTCCCCAAGTTGCAACAAATGACGTCACAGAAGCCGGAGTGTCATGCTGTTGCCTGTCGCGATCCTGGCGGTTGGCCGTAGAAATGCTGGCGAAAAGCACAAGCGAACGCGAGTGTTGCTGTTGTCACCGCGTCCCAGGCGTCCCAACTTCCGGCTGCTGCAGCTTCCGTGGACTGTCACAGTAGAGAGCGACCTGCAGCAGAACAGGCGTCTGCCTTATATACTACAACTGTTGGGACGCCGCCAGGATCGCGACTGGCCACAGCATGACACTTCTATGATGTCATCAAGCGGAAATCGAGGGACCACTTTTTTGGGCGCGGTAAACACACCAGTCGGAGACGCGTTCCAGGCACCATACCCAGGGGCACCCAATATTTCTTGCTTCAGTCGCTAGATGGCGCGAAACCAAACAGCATTGCAGGTTGCCTTCTAAGGTTCTTACCAATAACCCATCCGTCCATTTTTCTTTGTGTAGAATATGAGCGTCCCCTGTTCCGGTTCACGCTATTTTTGATTGTGTTGTCTTTTCTTAAGATTTGCGATGCCTAAGAATTTTCACAATGGGCACCAAAGCTGCGTTTGGAGAGTTCAGTCTACGTCCAGATTTGTTTGATTTGTTCCACTGCGCTGTGGGGAGACCGCTTGAACTCTGCTAGCATTCCTTCTCTGCGCATTGGGAAAACCCTGAAGTTTGAAGCCTTTCTCCTTCCCCTCTCTCCTCTCGACTGGCCAAAAGTGGAACAATTTTTTTCGACACTGATTAGAAGTTTGAAAACTAACTAGTCAAACCTCAAAGTTCGACGTCGAACCTGAGGTTCGACAAGAGTTCGCCGCACCATTAGGAATAGCCCAAAAATAGCCTCATAGCCAACCACGAAATTTTGACGCCAACTAGAAAAAAATGTAGCCCAATTTGGCTATATATAGCCCAATCTGGCAACGCTGCAAACAAGCGGTTTGAGATAGCGGGAGCGCCTGGAACAGGGTTGCCAGGTCGGCCAGGGTCTTTGAGAAAACAACGAGCCAAAAAATTGCCAAAAGTAGCCAAAACGAGTCACATGCACTGGCACCGTTTGAGCTCTCTTCCAGAATGCATCGCACTGGCGGAGCTGGTGGAGTGTTGCGCGGAGAAACTGGCCTCAAACAAACTTGCCAAATGCACCAAGTGTGGAAGACTGATGCTGTCACCATCTGTGTTGTAGAAGGAGTACCAACTTCAAACCGAGACTAGTGTCTTTCTGTTCGACGAGATGGGTGGGAATGCGAGAGTGCATTCGCTGCCAACGTTTATATATAAAAGTTGGTCGCTGCCACTGATCTCTACTATAGAGGGCTGGATGGTGCTTAGTTGCTCTCCGAGCCTGGTGCAAGTGAAGCCACCGGAAGTTCGATGCTTGTCCCGGAAGTCCGGCATGCGCTGGGCTTCCTTGTGCATTCAGTCAATATTTTGGACCATGCTTTTTTGTGTCTTTGATTGGGTTTTAATACTCCCGGTTATGGTATAAATCCCGAGAATGAGGCATTTGAACTTAGGACATATTCACACTTGATCAACTAGAATCTCAAAATGTTTACGTTGAATGGCTTCCCATATTTATCGGGTCTGCATGCGCTCTTACTGCGCAACAAGCAGGCTCCCTTGAGGGAACAAGCGAAAATCCAGCACCCTCGACGCTTTTCAAACCAGCACTCGAAAGGGTTACAAAGTCTGCTAAGCGCCCACTTCCGGGACAAGCCGCTTACTTCCGGTGGCTTCATACCTGTTTGCTCAATGCACCATCCAGCCCCCTCTAGTGGAGATCAGTGGTCGCTGCATCCTGTAGTTTATATATGTGACGACTTCAAGCGACTCGGCTGTCGTAGAGATATTTACAGACGGCGTAAATTTCCGCAACCAGCTAACTACAAAGCAGCTAGTTGCGAACTGATCACGCAGCACAGGAATGTTCCGAGAACATTACGGGAATGTTCAAAAGAACATGGGCAACATTCTTGGAATGTTGAAAATTTACGTAAACTTCTATTACCAATGCTAATTTTGTTTTTTTAGATTTTGTTTTAAAATACGAGTACGAGTTCCGAGCTCCGCGCCACGCTGAGCTTGGCCGTGCACCCTTTCCGGTGTTTGCCCGGGCGGGCTGCGCGGCCATGAATGCCAGGCGCCAGGCCCGCACCGCTGCACCTCGCTGGGTCGCTGCGCCGCCATAGGATGGCTCCAGTACAGTGGTCTAGAGAGTAGGCTCTCGGGATGGCTCGGCTTGACGTGTTTGATATCGTTGTGGCAGTGATGCTGTAAGCGTTTCCTCCTGAAATTTCCCAGCGTGCATAGGCCAGACCAGGTAGGCTAGGCGGCTCTTACGAATTGTTTGTTTCGTGCTTGCCTCTGAATCAATCACAGTACGGTAACTATATAAATTTGAGCACAAAGCGTGTTTTAAAAAAATTCTTTGACTTTCTTTTCAGGAGGAATCTACTGCTGCGCCCCTAGCGGCCACTGGCTGTACCTCCGGCGTTTCCGACATACGCCTTTTTCAGCACAATACACGGGGGATGGAGCAGTGAGCCCACTACCCATCTTTTAGTGCACTGTAGCTCTAATTAGGGTGGGCACAGCTCAAATCCTGGAGAGCGTTTGCAATTTAATGACGGTGCCTGGGGGAGGGGATTGGGAAAGGATGTGCGCCAATGTTGCCTGCACGAGAACAGACACCCGCTCTGTTGCAACTGTTGCCTCATGCACCTTTCTTCCTCTCGCCTCCCATTGCAAGCAACGAACGCCTTGGCGTAGCCTTTCTTGTGGAGAAAGCAACAAACTCAAGCTCGTTGGGAGAAAGCAGGGTTGCCAGACAAGAAGCAGCAACCAAGATGGCGGAAGTTACCATTTTTTACGTTAAACAAATATTTAACCTATCGGAACAAAACTGGTGGCTATAGAAATTAGTAATCATTTATACCTTGCATAAATTATTCAAGCACATTAATGGGCTCTTATGAGCCGAATTAGGAAATAAAACGACCCTTTAACCCGTAGACTCCCAGCAAAATTTAGCAATTCGATGGCGTCCATATCCCATGATCCCGATCTAGCAGTTGCGCTCACCCTCACAAGAGCCTCCCCCCCATACAGAACTCTGGACAACTACCGCCATCTATGAGCAACGGCAGCAGCCTTTGCGACCGTCGCTCATAAATGGCGGCAACTTTCCAAGCCTTTCCACTCTGGCTTGCCGACTTGTGGCCAGCTATTACTTTATTCCCACCATAGTACAGCTTCGATGGTCTTCCTTCTTCACCAGAGTGGAAAAACTGAAAGTTTTTTGTATTTTGTTTGTTACCATTTTTTACGTTACACAAATACTTAACCTATCGGAACAAAACTGGTGGCTATAGAAATTAGTAATCATTTATACCTTGCATAAATTATTCAAGCACATTAATGGGCTCTTATGAGCCGAGTTAGAAAATAAAACGACCCTCTGCCCCGTAGACTCCCAGCAAAATTTAGCAATTCAATGGCGTCCATATCCCATGATCCCCGATCTAACAGTTGTGCTCACCCTCACAAGAGCCTCCCCATAGAGAACTCTGGACAGCTACCGCCATCTATGAGCAACGGCGGCAGCCTTTGCCACCGTCGCTCATAGATGGCGGCAACTTTCCGAGCCTTTCCACTCTGGCTTGCCGACTTGTGGCCGGCTATTACTTCATTCACACCATAGTACAGCTTCGCTGGTCTTCCTTCTTCACCAGAGTGGAAAAACTGAAAGTTTTTTGTATTTTGTTTCAGTCGAGTAGCAGGCTCGACGACATCACCCTCCTGCTGCTGACCGCTAGGTGTTACTCTTATTACGGTGCTTTCTTGTTTCCACATGTTTTACGAGGTTGGCTGAAGTGGCTGAAGCTATAACAAGGTTTCACTTTTCTCCACAGGGCGGCACAAACCGTGATCCGCTGTTCTCAAACAACCTCCTGCCAACTGCTATTTAGATTCTTCAAAACGTTCATGCAAGTGTCATGGCATCACAAATTCAGGCTGGGGTTCAGCATTAAAAAGTAGCCAGAAAGTAGCCAACCTCAATTTTCAGTAGCCATGGACCTCAAAAAGTAGCCAATTTGCCGCAAAGTAGCCAAACCTGGCATGGAGTTTTGCAGCACTGGAACGCTGGATTGTGGACTCTCCATGGATGAAGACAAAGCCGGCAACGAAGGCAAATTATAGTGGCTAGTAAGCTAGTACTAGGTGTGTCGCAAACTTTTGTCGAACCTCAATTTTGACGTCGAACCTTCAAATTTTCACTACAGTTCGAAAAATTTTGACTTATGGGCAGTGTTGCCCCGCCTCTACACAAATATTTCGAAGTTCGGGAAACAAATAATTTAGAAAGTAATTTATTTTATATTTTATAAAATGGTTACCAATGTTTACACCATATAAAAGCGAAAATATGCGCTTTTAATAATTTTGTTAGTTAGTAATGTGAATCGGTGATGCCAATACACGCAACAAATACTACACTTTTCCTCCGCCAGGTGGAGTCGACTGTTTTTTTAATTTCCGCGCATGCGCACAACAATCAAACCTTTGTCGAATATGACGTTGAAAGTTAGAAAAAGTCTAACTTGGTTGAACTCGAACCTTGGCAGGTTCGCGGCATCCAGTTGGAGATGGAATGCATCTCCAACTGGTGTGTTTACTGCCAGTTGGAGATGGAACGTATTTCCAACTGGCGCAAGATGTAGTAGACTCATTCATGGCGCAATTTGGCGCAAATGGGGCAGCGGTTCCATCACTGAGCAGACAAACCAGTGACGAAAACTGGCGCTGCGCGGCAGTTTCCATAGAAGCTTCCACGGACGCTGTGACTTGGGCCTTGCCTGTGCCATGCTGCAAGTCACAGTTTATGCCAGTTGCTACGGAAACTGTCGTGTGGTGCCTGTTTTCATGCTCACCATTGCCACTGCGAGGAATCGGAAGTTTTTTTAGTTACAATTCTGTTTATACGATTATTTCTAGGTCACGTCGGCCTCTGGGTAACATTCTGAGATTGATGTGGATGAGCAAGTGTTTTAATAAAGCAGACATATTTTAAATAGCACTGACATTTATTGAGGGGCCCACTACCAGCAATCTGCCGAGTGATAACACAATTACACGAGGACATTACAGGTGCTCCAGTGTCAGCTGGAAGCCTCCATTATCAACAGTAATAACGTCCTTTCTCAATGATATGTTATCCACCAATGACACAAAACCCGTAGGATATAATCGCCAATGCTCGTCCACTTCGTTGACCCTAGGTCCATCCTACTCATGGCATGCGTCGCTGACAGTGCGCTGGTGTCACATTCAAAGCCTGGCCGACGAATGGTTCTAATGTTACATGCAGGAGGACCAACACCAAAGACACACTCACCACTCAAGAACATCCTTCTTGATATGTAGAGTAGAGAAAGCACTAAAATCACATATTTGTTCTTTCTCATTTTTGTATTAAAGAATTCATGAAACAATTTCTAGGTTCTGGCTGAATAATCCTCGAAATAAAACTTGAAAACACCGATTCAAGCTCCTAAATTCGTCTGCAATGGCTGTTAGATCAGAACCTATCCCCCTCTTATGCTAGATTCTATGCTAGAGAAGTGAAGCTTCCTGCTGAAAACTACATTGACTTGAAAAAAATTATTCTTGAAAATTGTTTCATGGTTTCTTTAGGTCTTTAAATGAGTTATTGCTAAACAGTTGGGTCGACAAGAGGTCAGGCTGAACACACCGTAGGCGTATGTTGTACTTGTCCCGTATAAAATCACCACACTTCCACAGTTAGGTACACAGTATACATTGTGTGTAGAAACGGGCATACTTTGTATGACCTGCAGATCCATTCAATCTCTCAATGATGGCACGCAGAAGGCAACCTTCTTTCCGTCAACACAGACAATCCAGCTCCAACACCCAAAACCATAAAACATAAAAAAATAAAAACTTCCATCAATACAATTTCACGTAACTGGTAAAGGGGCGCTACGAGCCTAGTACGCACTAGCTCGCTCTTCAGCAAACTAAAATGGCACTTTGTGGTGAGATCACTGTATCGGAAAAACCAACGAAGGAATAAAAGCCCCTGTAAAGATCTTCCAAAGAATGTGAAGCAAGTTCCTGAATTGGCCGTTTGATGGAGAAAAACCCGATGTCACGCAGTTGTTCCTAAACAATGCACTTGTATACGAAAAACAACTCACAGAAGGTTGTTCGGTATGTCATACATACCGAACAACCCCACGAGCAAACTCACCCTAAATGATGCGAGGGGCTGTCTGATGAAGACCTCCGGTTAATTGACAAGGGAAAAGCGACTCAAACTTTCCTGGAGGGAGGAAGTTATGTTTTCCCAAAGATTTGGGGTTGTTCAGTATCCAATTTTGGTGTCAGATGAAAGATTAGGGTGTACCAGAGTTTACATTGAAAAAAAAAAAAGGAGGACAGGGATGTAGGACTTCCCAACGTCCAGATAATGTGCGCATCATTCGAATACTTGGAAAATGTCCCTGCACCTTTAAAAGGAAACAAAATTGGGGTTGTGGTTCCCAAAGAAGTAACCTCGCAGACAATTTAGTGAGCTGTATTCCAGGCAAACACAAAATAAAACTGTAGTTGAAGGCTTCTTCTGGCAAAGCTTGGGAGTTACTTCTTTGAGGATCGCTCGAACTAAGAGTTTTTCGGTTTTCCCAAATTTTATAAAACCGGTTCAAGGGTTAATTTTTGGGGTTTTTCGCTATATATAGCGAAAACACGAAACCATAGGAATTCTCCCTTCCAAATCCTGAATTATGAACATGGGGAGGGTGGCACAACATACATCGGATAATACAATACTACAATTGCATGTACTATGTACTGCTGCCAGAAGAAAAAATCAGACAACACAAACTGCCAAGAACAATTTACACTGTCTTTGATCAGCCCCTTGGGCAGTAAGAGCGTGTATTGTTTGGATTACCAGCTAGCTCAGTCTTTCTGCTTTTGTTAGGTTTTACTTCAAACCTACCTGCTCACTCCAGTAAGGATATTTCGTGAGACATGCACTACAAAAGGACACCATCACATAAAACTGCACTCCCCTCTGCTAAAGCGCAAAGTATGCGACATATACCTCTTACCACACCCTGTGATACATATTTAGAACTCAGTTACAAATAGGTTCAAGAAGCTGACAACTGCTTACAAATATAATGCTCACATTGATCAACACTGGTATCAGACACATGGGAAAAAAAAAACATGTTCCATGAAAAAAAGAAAAAAAGAATGAGCAACCTTTTACTTTGAATGTTCACACCTATTACAACACAGTTACACGATACATTTTACAATGCGCTCAATGGTATAAAAAGGGAAATAAAAAAAGTGGTAACAACAGAAAAACATAAACACTACTTCTTAAGATAAAAAAGCAAATAAAAACTCACTCTAAAAGTTCAGACTTCTGTTCAGTTTGTACCAACAGGCAATCAAATCAAGCCAAAAAACCTGCTCATCGCTTTTGCAATGTCAGATATCTAAAAAAGCTGCAGGTGTGAAAGTAACTGAACAAGCTATGCAGTTCAGACAGAAGACAATGATGAACAATGACTGAGAATGATGTTTGATCAAAGCTAACATTGCAAATTAAACGTTTGAAGTAAACCTCAGTCTTGCAAAGAGCTACTTCATTACTATGGTGGATTTCCAGGACATGCCAAATTTTGCAAAGTGTACATTCTGCTTCGCAAAATCGATTTCTTGCCTCCATTTCTTTCGAGTAAACATTAATGCATAAATAAAAAAAACCAAAGGAGTGGCTGGCACATAGAACAACAAAGTGTGTGTTTATAAACTTCTATTGTTACCCTATTCATTGGTAAAGGCTGTCCCATGTTCTCAACACCATAAACTGAATTGTCTTTAACATTCTGATGAATGAACAAAACATAATTGTCAGAACTGTCTCATCCTGGCTATCGTATGTATAAATATTGCTCCTACACTGCAAGACAGCACAAATGAGCATTTACATTTTTTGTTTTCCCTTACACACTAAGTTTTACCACTTATAAGTTGATGTCATAGATAAGTGCATTCCATTCTACCCCTAGTTTTGATGGCAGCTTTTCAAACTTGCAAGAAAAATCAGAAAAACTAGCAACCGCATAATTGGGCTAGCTGTGTGACATCCTGCACGGTTGATAAGGTAAACAAGATCTATCTCAACCATACTTACCAGTCAAGCTGAGTGTCATACGGACCAGAGCAGTTGATCTAGTGGTACCGCATGAGATGAACTAGCCAATCCCGGTTGTGTGTGTATGCTTCATTAGAAGCAAAGGAATCCGATGCTCTTTAGAGTATTCAGCCCTTGATTTGTATCTTCGGTCAGTCTGAGGAACTTGAAACACATTCGAAAAGCTAAAGGCTCTGCACAAGATCCATTACAGTCCTGAGGCTTAGGAAGGTAACTCCATAAGGTATTTAACACTATTGTGCCACTGTGGATAATACTTACTACCCAAAAATTCTGTTGCTAGAGGAAGTTAGCAAAAATCAGGCAAATAAAATGTTTCTGTATCTCTCTTCTTATCAAGCCTACTGGTCAAGCCTTCGTGGGCACTATGAGAAAGATAACAAGATTATTATTATTATTATACCCGATTCGGTTCACCAAATCCTTGAAAGTCGATTTGGTATATGTCCCCCTTTTAAACAGAGAAACAAAAACAAAACACAGGGCTGCCTTGATGTCGTTAAAATCATGCAGTGCATGTTCGCCTGCTCTCACTGGTACTGCATTCCATGTATGCTGCAAGTAGCACTGTTTGGTCTCCTGCCCGCAATATAGATCACTGACATTGCAAAACCGATACAGAGAAAAAAACCTCAAAAGGAGTTCATAACAATAAAAAAAAAGGCAAAACCAAGAGCAAACAAACTCAGCGTAACAAATAACATTGGTTGCGTAATGGTAATTTGAACGTGAATATGAACAATTTGACGGCGCACCGTCGTATGGAATGGCTGACAACGATGAGGATGGCGGTCAATGTGTACAGTGATCGGCACACAAGACTCCTCATCAGTTTGGAAGAAACCTGACCTAAGTACAATGGCAGCTATGAACACAAGACCATGAGTGCACGGGGGCAAGAAAACCCGCACGGGCATGACAAAATATAAATACACACAAAGAGCAGACTCGCACGTGTCGCCCTTATCCCTGAATTAAGAATGAAGATCAACAAAATGCACCTTACACTGCATATAAATTCAGCTTGACACACCAACAGGAAAGATATGGCTAGGTGATTTCCAGGCAAGCGTAACACACACAACACACAATCTAGGCTCAGGGAGTGTGACTTTCACCCACACTTTTTGAAGCGGAAACAGCAAGATTCGCAGCTAAAATGTGGCACCACTGAAATAACGGGAGAAACATCTTATACCTGGGACAGCATTGGCTTGGGAATGGGCGGTGCATCACACAATGTGTTGTTACGAACAGGCTTATTTCACTGGTCACTCTGCCATGCTCCACAAGGGGCATGGAATATATTAAGAGTACCGTGGTGTTTTGAGCAGATGGCAGGCATACAATTTATAAATTGCCGAGTAACCTTACCTACACGTTCCAAAGACTGCGGTATAGTAAAGGAAAACGTCCAACATTACCCGGAAGACCCACACCCTACTTCCGAGTGTTTTTCCAACATTTGGAGAGCTTTACCCGACTTCCACGTCACAGAAGTGCAGCAGTGTGGCAGGAAAAGTCTGGAAGGGGACCTAGCCTTTCCTTTAAAATGTAAACAACAGCTTGTACTGGGGAGGAGGAAAGTAGAAAGCCATTTACGCACAAAGGAAAAGTGGAAGGTACAACCGCCAACAATCCTTTCCGCAGCGGTGCGGTGACTACATTGGTCTTTCTGAGCAGTGCACAAAACAGCTGATGCAAAACGTGCATTCGAACAGTTCTAGCCAAGCGTGAGAAGCGCAAGTTTGGTAGCCAGAAAAGAGACGACGGCAGCATTGCACACTGGTGGGGTGGGGAAGTCCGTGGGTACCAACTGACTGTGTCACCCAGCTAAATGATGACAACGAAGGGGTGACACAAAAGAAGTGAAAGTTTGAGAGCAGACGACTCGAGATACCTCAGCAACAGAGGACATCACCAACATCTCCCAGTCAACGAGGCTGCAGTGCTGGCTACGTCCCTTATAGTCCCTGAAAGGATAAGAATGGCAGGGCGTCGCCAAAGGTGGGAAGCATGCGCTGGAAGCGAGACAACTGAAGAACCTCCCTGCCATTCTCACTCTATCGGTGACTGTACTAGGGGCCAGTGCGGCGTACGGATTGGACAAGGGTGCTGCGGCGGCATTCGGGTGGGACTCTCGTTCAAACAACGACGAAGCACCCGCGTCCAATCTGTGTTCCGTGAGGACCTTCAGTACGTGATGCAGAAATCTCGACGCTACTGCCTTTCTGTCTGAGAAGTGTGGACAGCCCGCTCGCCCCTCCTCGCCGTGCGACGTGAACGTCCGGCCGATGACGCTCTGTCGAACGCTTCGGTCCGACTACGTCCTCCTGTTCCTCTTTGTGTCCTGTGGTTTCGCCGCCGTCCCCTGCGGCCTTTTCTGCTGCAGGAGCATTTCGAGGTTCTCCTGAGCACTCTTCAGGTCTGGGTTCAGTTGGAGGGCCCTTCGGTATGACTCCTCTGCCTTGTCAAACTTCTTCCAGCGGTGGTATAGCACACCTAGGAACAAAGGGCAAGCTCTGAGCCGCGGGCTTTCAAACTTGGTTCCCAGAAAGTTCCTTGGACTGCCCTCGTTAGTCTATTGGATTACCCTCGGGGGTTATTCGAGCCTAAACCCTCTCTCAAGCGCCCATACCTTTAGCGAGGCCCTTTTAGTTTGAACGCAAATTATGCACGCGCATTGATGGATGACTATGAGCCATCCACTTCCACCTCGCTCCCCAGCATCAGTAATGCCGTGGAATCTTTTTGATACAATTATCGTGGGAACTTAAAAATAATACATGTTACCCCCAAAAAAAGCTGCATCAGTAAAAAAACCTATCAGTATAGTCTCGAATCATGCACAATGTGAATTGAGATTACAAGACTTAAAAGTAACTCGCTTCTGTAACCACATGATCTAATTCTAGGCATCATAATAACCATATCAAAATGCACAGCTTCTGAAGACACCTTCCAAAAACGAAGACATTTTATACCATAAAGTGTTTTACATATGTGGGATTGTATCAATGAGATTCCACTCTATTGATGACAAAGTTTCTAAGCTTTGGAGCTGCTTTATTGCAAGACTGTCTAGAGGATTGGGGAAGGGGCTCCTTTGGCTTTCATGCAAAGCACAGTAGAAACTCAACGACATGTTCCCCATTTATATGTTTCTCCTCGGTTACATTGGCAGTTGCCGGTCTTGTTTGAACTTCTTATAGTTTGTTGCATTGGATTTTATGGGCCTTCCCAGTTGTTATGTTAAGAATATGGTAACACATCTGCCAAAACACTAATTTAAATGAATGTTGACCTTGCTCGCCCACAATAACAGCTGGATGAATGAATTTCGCATTGCCCTTTAAATCGGGTGGCAGCTTGTGCCCCCTGTGACATCTGGGAGAAGCTAACGGGAAAGGACTCTTCAGACATCCAAGTGATGTTGCTCTATGTGCGAGCGACCAGAGACTTTTGCCTCAGCTCTGTGGGGATGTTTTTTCTACCTCTTCATCAGTTTCGTTTTGCCTGCACAAAGTGAATGGAACGTTTTCGTTTTTGTATGGTTTCGCTGCTTTCGTCGAGATTTTGAGGTTTTGCCATCACACACGGTAGGTTGCATCTCTTTCGACTACACATCTGCCAGCTGCAGACCACGAATGGAAACCCTAATGGCAGAGGACGGAAGAGTGCATGTTCTCTTCTGCCTCACCTCCTACGTACTCTTCCACCATATGTGCAAATGCACTCGCTTCCTTGTGGTGACATTTCAGACCTGCTTTACCTGTGTACAGTGTTGGTGCAGCATCTTATTCACAATCGGAGGGGGACCCCAGCTGGAAACCGGGAGTTTCCACGCCCTCTTGGTGCTTTTTTTATACTGGTGAATTTTCTTACGACGTTTTTGCTTTACAAAAGTGCGACACAGAAATGTGCGTTACAGGAATTTACATTGCAAAAACCTGAATCTGTGTCACAGGAATTTGCATTACAGGACATCGTTAAGAGCCAGTCCTATAACACATTCTGCACTAAACGAAATTGAGTACCTATTGTCTTGACACCAGAATTCAACGTTTCGAGCAAAAATAAATAATATTTTATTGGGTGTCAACATCCCTATAAACATTGCCCCACCAGTAGAAGGTGCCAAGATAGACAGCAGTAAAGTAAGGGAGGGAAACAAAGGAAAGTTATATAGGTCCATTTCTAAACAACTGTGCAAACTTCAGAATCTGGGTCACCCCATAACAATGGCAATTCCACTAATCCACTGGTTTTCAAATTGGGTTCCCAACAACCCAGATGTTCCCAGGAATGAAGTCACTGGATGCTGGGAAAGTAGAGCCAACCTCCCTGTATGGTCGCCATTTTGGTCCATAGAATGAGCAGTTTCTCCTCGACTTCTCCATTCCTAGTGAGCCAATCCGAACTCACGGTGACAGGTTGCTTTATAAAGACATTTCTAGTGTATACCGAGATTTTGATATCCACAAACCGACGAAACAAGTGCACATCTTGGCACTACCACCACATGCAGCGTCAGCGCATGTGGTGGCGGTATTGGAATTTCCTGTCTTGAATTAAGCGAGAGCAATATCATTGTAAGAGGTCTGTGGAGATAGGCATGATTGATAAGTTGACTGCATACTAAGCACCGAAGACGCTTATATTGGCAAGGAACGCTTTCATTTTGATGATGCTCCATAGCGATCTTGGCACGACTCGTTCAGAACGACCCTTTCGAAGCTTCAAAGATTGAAGAAGGACCGAAATGGCGATTGCCATGACAACAGAGAACAATCAGCCAATTGCTTTGCAAGGTTTTGGTCGTTTGTATGTTAGCATCTGTTTGCGTCTTGCTAGTAGGCAGGGAAGGCAGTGGCGCTAGTTTCCCAAGACTCGGTGACTTTACCCTCAACTACCTCCACAGGTTCCTTAAGCTGCCAGATTTCCTCAACCATCGATGCTCCTAAGTAAAGTGTCCTTTGGGTGAAGAACCATTTTAGAAGATCTGGGCCAACCATTGATGCATGACATATACGCCAAGCAGCCCCTAGTATGTGCATGTATGTTTACAAGGCATCTAGGCTTCTGTACTGTTTTACTGCATAAATGCTAGGACCGGAAGGTGCTCCTTGAATTTCAGCCAAGTCAGATAAGGCTACCTAGAGACAGAAATCTTCAAGAACTCCTGCAATAATCTTCCGGTGTTAAAGCAACTCTGAGGAGGTTCCCGAGATCGCCTAAATATGACAATAACTCACTCTGCTGGCTTTGAACATCATAGAAATCTCCAAATCATGACGATATGCGGCCGATTTCTCTATTAAAAAGCAATCAACGATTGCAACACATTGAGGTCATCTCAGGCGATGGGACGAGCATGTTCCAAAACCAGGGGCCATTGCCAGCCCATAGCAAGCGAAGGATCCTCGTGTCTCTGACCGGTGGACCCGCGGAGTGATTTCTCAAATGTGCAAGACTCGTCACCCATAAAGTTCCTTGATTAACGCTTTGCTAAGCAGCAACAGCTATTGATGTGCTGACGTGCTCTCTTATTGGTTCGTACCCGTGTTACGTTTTTGGTTAGGAAGAACATGGCAGATTTGACTCGACTTAGGAATCTGAAGCCGCTGGGATGCTGCAGAAGCGGATGTGCTTAAATGAAACTGAATGGAAGAAAGATGTAAACGTTTCTTCATCAATATTTCCATTTGATGCTTCTAAACCTAAATAACTTGCAAGCACTGTACATGCTTCTGCCAGATAATAAAGAAAAGAAAGCATTTGCATTGACTCCTTCTCTTGTACTATTCCTTTGGAAGCAAAACCAGACTGCTGGAAAACATAATTTAAAGGGACAATGAAGACGATTTTATTTAATTCTTTTAAATGGTGTTTTTATGCTTCTTGGGAACATAGCATGCTGCCCAATTTTTTGTAGCCATTTGTGACGCGTATTTCTGTGCCTACGAAAGAAGTAAAGAAACCGAAACTGAACAATTTCCATTCTCGTTTCTGGGCCTCCAAAAACGGAGGTGACGTCAAGTGTGAATAGTCGGTATCACAGTGGTCGGTGTCGGTAGTATTTAGGAGATCGAGATTCTGGTTACCGCGGTGGGTTATAGCAGTGCGGTGGTGCGGTGGCGCGGTCGTTTCGTCGAATCTGTCAACATGGACGGCAATGCCGCTCTCGCGAGCGAGTTCGAGCTTCCGTTCAGTAACACAACACATCCGGCGTTGCTTGAATGCTGCTCCTCCAAAGCTTAGGAAACTTGCATACGAAACCTTCATTCGACCAAAATTGGAATATGCATCTACAATATGGAATCCGCACCAAAATTACTTAATCACCCGACTAGAAGCAATTCAAAATTGAGCAACCCGCTACATTTTATCAAACTATGACTATAAAAACAGTGTCTCTGCCATGAAAACGAGCCTAAATTTACTAACTCTGGAGGTACGCCGCAAGGTTGCACGTCTTTGCTTACTCCATAAACTTTACCACTACCATCCCACTGCTCGAAGCTCATTCCTGCGCACTCCCGCACGGTCATCTCGTCGGCTCAATAACTCTTACAATTTTCAACATATATCGGGTTCCAGTAATGCCTTTAACAAATCATTTCTCCCACTAACAATTGTGGACTGGAACAGTCTTCCAGAATCGCTCATTACAATAACTGACCCTGTGGTTTTCAAAAGCTCCATCATGTCGTATTTTTCCACACCAAGTTAAGTTTTTTAGCTACGTTGCATGAGAGTGCGTTGTTATGCAATTTTAGCTACGTTGCATGAGTGTGCGTTGTTATGTAATTTTTATGTTGTTGTTTTTTTCATTTCTTGTATAATTTCTTGTGTTGCCCCCTCCTTATGTAATGTCCTCGACAGAGGACCCTTAGGATTAATAAATGAAATGAAATGGAATGATGAAACAAAAGGAACGGGAGAATGTGTGTGGCGGCCTCCGTCGTCACCCGAGGGAGACCGCCCAGCTGGTAACGAGCGGCCCGCATGCCGAACTGCCCATAGTTGCTCGTTGGCCGTTTCGCGTCCAGCGTAGCAAAGAAAAAAACATTTATGCTGCTTTATTTACGGTTTAGTAATCCTTTCCGGTCCGATTTATGCTTTTCATGGTTACTGAAGCGAAAATTAGAACAGTATTCCTAAAAACCGAGAACGAAAACATGACCGAGGGCGCGTTTCTCGTTTCGACCAATCGCTCAGGCGTCTCTTGTGACGTCGCGCTTCTTGGCATCGCATCGGTCACGTGAGCTCCGCTTCTCCTGGCTTCTCCCGCAACTCTCGGGGTGTCGCTCCAGTCGATTCCGGTACGATTATTACCGCGACTGTTTAATTGATTTGCACGGCACACAAGCGCCGGTTTCGGCTGCAATTTGGGCAACGTGGCCCGAGACGTGCTTGGAACCCAGTTCAATAGCCAAAAAGATGTCCGAAATTGCCTTCATTGTCCCTTTAAGGAAAGAAAAAGTTGAATGTCAAAGGGTTAAACAACTATGTATTCGCACACCCCTAGATATTTTGATTGCTGCTCGAGCGATGTTGCGACCACACCCGCAAACGAAAAGATCAAAATCACGCCTATTGCACCATGTGAAACGGGCCATAAAAAAAAAAAAGGAGAAATGCTCGTTCTTGACTGCAAACGACTCAACATTGCCACGTGCAAGGCCGAGAAAGCAACACTAGGCAACGGACTTCTAGAAGGTTCTCATTTATTTTTGGTGCAAACGTAACTTCGATTATTTATCCCTGCTTTCTTGTTCTAGAAAGTGTGTGTTCATTCTCGCCTCGAGCTCGAGCCTTATTTGCCGAATCTTTGAGATAGTGACTCTCGCTAGATGAGGGTGCCGCGACCTTGTCGAGTCAGTTTCGTTTCAGCGTTCGATCCTGCTGTTTCGCCGACTTCCGATGCTTGTGACGCTCTGCTGTTATTTTCTGTTTCCTTTTTATTTTTGGCACAAGTTTGCCCCATTGAACGTTTCGTTTCCTCAGTTATTTTTTGTTTCATTACCTCTTCATTCGTGACATTATGGTGAAGGTGCGGGGTAATGGCTTGCTGAGGTCGACAGCGCGCGCTCGCTGTTATTGGCTTCAGTCCCAAAACCATCAATGGTTAACGGGGGATAGCGGACAAGGCCCCCGAAAATTTCAGCCTTCATGCCACGCATGAGGACGCGAAGCTTTTTCTCCCTCAGCTGCCTCCGGATCGGCTCGGGCACATAGGCGAATGACATCTTCAACAAAGCTGGTTACGCTTCGTTGGGGCCTTGCACCCTTGTTTGGAGAAGGTCCTCCGCTCGCTGCCAACAGTCGTGGTTGAGGAACGTTCTCTCCAACTCGGCGGCGCAGGAATCCCACGTAGTGAAGGACGCTTCGTGGTTTTCAAACCAGTGCCTCGCAGTTCCTTAAAGCGAGAAGTAGAGATTGTGGAGGCATTGCTCAGTCGTCCATCCGTTGTGGCAGGCTACACGTTCATAGTGTTGCAGCTAGTCTTCAATGTCCCCATGGACCTCCTCGTGGAAAGGCGTCAGAGTCCGGGGTCTGCGACGACTGGTTGTCCATCGTCGTTCTCCTTGACTGCTTGGTCTTGGGTGGCAAGAGTCCTAAATCCGGGGTAGGCCTAGGTTGCAATCACTTGATTGGATCTCGGTCTGGTCTTCGTTGGGTCCTCGGTGAATTAAACTATGAGGTGCTTCTCGACGGAACTCGACCACCAAGATGACGCCAACCGCGACCCGAAGTAGTCTATGTCGTGCGCCTCAGGCCGTATTACAAACGATAGAACTTTGGACTCTCGTCAAACTGTGAAATGTGGTTTGCGATTCTGCTGACCTTTCGTTGTGAATTTGTGTTTTCAGCTTGTGTTGCATCAGGACGATGCGCTTTTAAAGCGGGGGATAATGCCGTGCGCAGGGCCGAGAAAGCAACGCTCGGTCACAGGCTTCTAGAAGGTTCTCGTTTATTGTTGCTGAAGACGCAACTTCTATCACTTATTCCAGCTTTCTTGTTCTAGAAAGTGCGTGTTCATTCTCACCCCGAGCTCGAGCGCTCTTTGCCAAATCGTCGAGATAGTGACGCACTCTAGATAAGAGGCCACCGCGAATTTGTTGAGTCAGTTTTGCCTCAGCGTTCAATCCCGTTGTTTCGCCGCCATCACCGCTTGCGACGCTAGCCCTTTTTTTCTATTTTGATTTTTGGGCACAAGTTCGCCCCATTGAACGTTTAGTTTCCTCAGTTATTCTTTGTTTCATTACCTCTTCATTTGTGACAATATGCGTAATAAATTTATTTCGAAAAATATTTTTCAATTATTAAATTTAAAAATAATGTCACTTTAGGTTTCAATCCCCTCTCCCCCTGTCATTTGAGTAAAAGCTGGTAGACGACGGAGTTAGCAATGAATATAACATTAGGCACCATCTCCTGGCAGGCACAGCGAGAAGACGACGCGCCCTTTTGTCTGCTAGCAGCGCCTATCGGGAGATGGCGCCACAAGTCACGTTAATCGCTAACTCGGTTATCTGCAAACACGTTGGCCATTGATTTTTCCAAGTGTGCCGTGTAACCTTTTACAGCAAGAGAACTATGCCTAGAAATTTCACAAGGTACAACCTATCAGCTAAAAGCACATTCAGTCAAGGTTAGAGCCTACTACCGTAAAATACCAAGGAAGCGCCCCCTCACTTTCACCAAAAACTGGGTTAATATACCTAGACATAAGCGCTTGTCTGGTCAAATCGATAAAAACCAAGATGGCCAATAAAGAGCTTTGAAGGCAGGGTGAACGGAATCGGAGAAAGCACGTTTATTTTCACAGAATATCCCCGTCATCGCTGCTGGTGGTCTCGTGGCCGCTGCAACGGAGGCGAATATTTTTGCCCATGCTAGGGCTTAACATATAATTTGCAGAATTCCAAAGTTTGGAAAATTTTAATAGTGGTTGCTCGTACGAAGCGGGCGCTTCCATGGTACTTTACAGGATGTGCAGGAGGCTATCTTTCCAGCTCGTTTTACACTATGGGAAACACTGTGGTCACCCTCTATGTGCGAACCAATCTTAAAACGGGCTCATTTCAAGCCACAGAAAGAACAGTCAAGCAGGTCTCCCGACCAACGCAAAAAAAAAGTCTGGCTGACATCCCCCCCGTCCGGGCTCACCGAGGTTGGTGTGGTAGCTGGGGTTGTCTGGGCTGAGGGCCAGGGCCCTGAGGAAGTGGTGCTCTGAGCGGCGGTGCTTTCCTGCCTTGCCCAGGGTGTTGGCCAGGTTGAAGTGCAGCGAGGGCTCCTGCCCCAGCTGGGCCAGCCCCTGCAGGGCGGCCCTCTCAGCTTCGGCCAGCAGGCCCCGCTGGTCCAGCATGATCACCAGGTTGTTCCAGGACGACAGGTGGCTCGGACGCTGACGGGTGGCGTTGCGCCACGCCCGGTATGCCTCCTCGTACCGGCCCTGCTTCAGGTACTGCCACGGGGAACGACAAGTGCGTCGGTTGACTGCTAGCTCCGGTTCTACTGTCGTTCGTTGCGAGAACGGTGGCGGCCATACTACACCAAACTAAATACAGAGTGTTTGAAAAAAAAAAAAAAAAAAAAAAAAAAGACCAAGTTTTTCTTATTTGGAAAGTAAAGTATGCATTGCCAAATGCTCAAACTCGAATCCTAGAAATTCAGGGAATCCCCGAGTGCTCCGAGTGGGTTCCTCAAGTTCCCAAATTTCTTCGACCGTCCCCGTCCCTATTGAAGTGTTCTTCCAGTTTAAGCACTATTTTAGTTGATCTGAGTCACTCATTGATACATAGCTAGAGACAAACACTTGTACCAGGCGCATTATTGTTTGCAAGGTCTGCAAGCTACTACACAGCTGTATTGCATCAGTGCCCAGACCTGGAAAGCTTCCTCGATTGCCATTCAAGGAAGGTAGGGGTTCCCGCAAAATCTAGGAGGTTGAAAATCCCTGACCTAAAGTAATGATTTTACAGCTGCTAAAAGCAGCGAGTGTATGCGCCACCCCAAAATCAAGCTTCACAAACACAGTTCGTTTCAGCAGAGCTACCTAGCGTGTCACCCGTGGGGGCTTTGAGAACAAAAGCAATGCGCTGACAGTACCATCTTCACTTGCTGACTAATGCCCAGCGCAAAACAACGTGATCTCGACAACTGCATTGGGCAACAACCGCACTGATAATGAGCGATTTTGAAGAATGAATCCTCGTATTGTTTGCACTATATAGAATATTAATTTTAAAAGTGAAATTTCATAATCATTGATTTGCCTCAACATTCGCTGAACACATTAGTTGACACACCTGAACTAATACCCCAAATTACGGGTCACAATATTTTTTTTTTTACAATGTCAGTGAAATTTTGAATTCGGTCCGAGGCTCCGAAAGGCTCCACTGGCAACACTGAAAATGCTGTTTTTTGCGGCCATATGGGGACAGTACGGCTTATTCCTGACTGGTTACAAGAAGTTTGATGTGTCCAATAGTGGAAAATTAATGCTGTTTAAACTTAAACCAGCCAAACAAAACAAAAAATTCACGAAATATCATTTTTAGATTGCCTGCTTGAATCGCAAGTTATACGACATGTGACGTCGCCCCACTATAGAGCACGGGAAAAGTGTAATCTTGGTTTTGGCATAATCTTCATTTGTCATTTTCTCATTAGCTGGTAGTATTTTGACGAGAAATAATATGGAGCAGGCCGCGAAGAGCAAAGCCTGGGTATTCCGAAACATGTTTACTGTAATATCCAGAGAGATGCCCTGCCACCGAAAGATAACCCACCCCTACTTTTGGCAAGATTTGCTATTTTTTTTTAAACACCGAGACACCAATGGTGACCTTGGCAGAAATGTTGTTACTTAGCCAAGACGGCAAATAAGTGAACATTACTGACTGGGAAGGACAATCATCTTTGGTTGACCTCCCCTCCCTGTAATCACAAGTTTTGCAGGTCACAAAACCTAAAACAAAAATTTTTCAACCTTTTTATTTTTTAAGGCACACCGAAAGTCAATTTACTTCTCATTTTCACCTGATTTGCATTCAATTTCAGGTTGGCTATCTCTCAAGAGATCATAAATTGGGTAGCTCAAAAGACCGCCATTATACATGGAAAAGATAGTGCTTATCACTACAGTCAAACTTGGATATATTGAATTCAAAGGGGATCGTAAAATAGTTAGATATATCAATAATTTGATATATAAAAATATGTTAACTTAAGCTCCAGTCGAAATTTCCGCGCATCTCAACTAATACCGAAGGCCGTGACAAATGGGACCTTACCAAAAAGTACTTCTAAGAGCCGCTAAATACAGCAGAGCGTAGTTGGTGAAGATCGCACGCGGTAGTGTTTGCAATCGTTTATGCACGTGCACCTGGCCACGATCTCCACACAGCACCAACGACAAAACACGAAAATAATTTTAAAAATAATGAAAGAACGGAAAAAACGAGGTGCATAAAACAAAAACTTTAAATGCATAAAACAAAATTAAGCAAGCAATAAAAAAGAAAGCTCACAAAATCCAGGCAGCAGCAAAAAAAAAAAAAAAAAAGGGCAAAGCAATAACGGCAAAAGAAAAAGGTAAACAAAGATAAGGCGCTCAACCGCTGTTGTCAACACACTAAACTTGACGAAGACTTTTTTTTTTTTTTTTTGCTTATTTTCTTTTTTGGGCTCAGGAGCCGCGCAGTGACAGCAGTGTTCGGGAAAAGAGTGCACGCTGCCGTTCTAACAGCAGGCACCCCCTGCCCTTCCTACGTGCATGCGTTCCCCTCCCCTTGCTTTTGCCATCCTCCATGTTTGTTTTTCTTGCTTTGTTTTTTTATGGTTGCCTTTCTTTTTCTTACAACTGCTCTTTCGCTGCGTACCCCAAGCGTGTATGCTGGCTTGGCGGTCTGCCAGCCCCACAACGCGAGCTATGTGCTCGCCGCCGGCACAATTTGACCGCGGAAAAAGCGATGGGCGACAAAGCTTTGTTTGCTATATCGAGTGTCCTTGCTATGGGCGTCATGCGATTTTCAAGGGGATGTTTGGACTGTTCGATATTGAGGAGTTTCAGCGACGGTGTCACCGCCCTGGCGGCCGGTCGCTGAATGAGAACGAGGGGTATAAATTCGCTGGGCGTTGGCTTTGTGTAAATGCGTTGGTCGCGAACGTAGGCTTATAAACTTCGACAGCAAGAATATTACGCGGCTCTAGTGTTCCGGTACGAGCAACGGAGATCACACGAACTGCTACGACTAGCTACGACCACCCGCCGCAGCGATGCAGGCGTCGAAGGAGCGCAACTTGTGTACTACGCAGTCAGTCGCCGTCGCCCGACGCCGGTCGTTTGGCATTTAGGGCTTTCCGACCCGGGTTCTTCGCTTGTACTTGGAACCGAGTATTATTCCCTGTGCTTGTGTGTGTGCTCAGTGGCTGGATATGGACCTCATAGAGCAGAGTTCTTCAGACTCGACAGCGACTCAAAGTTGACGGCGGAGGGGCTTGCAGCAACGCTTTCGGTTGGTGCATGGCAGAGCCGTATATGGTGCATGGGTGCGACGACTACACGGATAAATTTTAAGATTGCTGCTAGCAAGGTGGGCCATAGTCGCTTTATGTTGACACGATTTTAAGTGTAAGTACTCCGTGCAAAGGCGCATCTATCGCGTTTCTAATCCACCTTTGTTTTTAGCACGCACGAGCGATTGAAAATGCTTCTGTACCGATCACGGGGTGAATGTCTTCGGCCTTACATTGCGGAACGCCCAATAAAAAGTCATATTCGTTCAGCGAGAAAACTTTCCTTTCGAGTGACCTTCTTTGATTGATAATTTCGCCCGTACTTGAGTGCTTTAATCAACACGATCGATTAAGTTTGCTTCCCTAGTTAGGACATTTTAGTGCCACATGCGGCACTAATGCTTGGCACAATGTACGCTACTGGTGGTATTGTGAATTGGTTTACTTCCAAAGCTAACAGTGTGACAGGTGGGACCATTCAATTTGCTAAAAATGTGATGATATGGGAATGTCGTTGCATAACTAGCGTTTTACGCTTAAGATTGATAAGAAACATGCTCATGTGATGATGCATGTCTACAGCATAAGCTTTGCATATTCAGAATGGATGTGCTACAGGCTACAGGCTCAAGACTTTGATGGACCAAATTGGTGATTACTCGGCAATAAATATTGTTGTGGAAAACTGCCCATTGACTCGGTGAGTTTTGATCGTGACCATTGGTGTGCTGTTGGCAAATTAGGTAATGGCACACCTTTTCCCTGACCATCTGGCTTCAAGGGACATTGCATCTAGATGTGCTTAAATATCTTTATTTCAAGGTTGAGTGGACCCCTCTGCATCATTACAGAAAGGCACTCTCAAGCCACAACAAACAGCAGTGAATATACAATGCATAATAACGGGCACCAGTGTCCAGGCAAAAAGTCCGCAGAAGCCAATTTGAGCCTAAAAATGTTTTTGTTTTGTTTAGATAGTTTGCATTTGGTGTATAATTCAATGGGCCCGATTTCCGCGCCCAGTGCATAGTCCGCCAAGCTGGTGCGTTGCGTCTTCGTGCTTTTTTTCCTGGGTGGCATTTTCTTCAGACGTTCTTCGGCGAACGCTATTGAGCCTGAAGAACTGTTCTTGAGGCCCATATCCAGCCACTGAGCACACACAAGCACAGAAAATAACACTCGGTGCCAAGTACAAACGAAGCACCTGGGCGGAAAGCCGTGAATGCCAAACGAGCAGTGTCCGGTGACGGCGACTGACTGCGTTGCGCCCCTTCGATGCCTGCATCGCTGCGGTGGGTGGTCGTAGCTAGTCGTAGCGAGATGATCTTCACTTCAAGCAAGAAATCTTGCCATACCATAGTCAAGATATGTGGGCAAGTGTTCGACGACATGGGCTCTCTCACGTTGGTGCAGTTGTCATCAAGAAAGGTTTCATATCAACAATGTTGCGTGTTTCAGGCTGAAACTATGACGCATACTTGTCTAAACCTAAATTTATCGGTCTGCGGCTACAAACATTTTCGTTGACGTTGCTTAGATCACGTAACCATTCGGGCCTCGAATCAAATGGTGTTGCGAACTTTTCGGTTGTGTATGAAAACCTATTTGCCCTAATAAAAGACATTTTGAAAAGGACACATGTCTTCTGCTGATACATATCTTCCAATTTACAATGCAGAAGCAAACAGAAAATCAACTGCATACATCTACCACTTAGTATAAGCACCTTTTGCAATTCATTCTTGAGCACACTCAAATATCAGCTTAAGTTGCTCTTGTTTTAGAAGTTTTGCCCTGTTCTGTTAAAAGAAAACAGTTAAAAAGCTTTACCTTCGTTCTCCTCGCATTTAATAGATTTGTATGTCAGCAGATACCACCGTGGCACATACAACTCGAATGACCGATGAGACTATTGCTATTACAATAAAGATTTCCACAAGAGCCAAAACGAGGCTTGTAAGGGGTGCACAAGCACATCGAAATGAGATTGGCGCTTCCGGGGCTTGTTTACATTATGCGTAAAAACAGGACCATCGGCGACCAGCTGATCGCAATATAACACCAAGGATACCAATGTTTCGATACATAGAACGCAGGATAAAGACCTCAATCGTCCCTTGTATGCTGTAGTTGTCATACTTTCCATCCAACCGCTTTTTAGCACAATTAACTAGAACAACCGAAGAGTTCCCAACACCTGTTAATGCGAGGCCTGAATGGTTGCATCATCTAAGCAACGTCAACGAAAATGTTTTTAGCCGCAGACCGATAAGTTTAGTTTTAGATAAAGTACCCGTCATAGTTTCAACGCGCGAACATTGTTGATAAGTACCTTTCTTTGGACCCGCGTACATTCGGTTCAACTTGATGACAGCTGCACCAGCCTGAGAGCTCACGTCGAACACTTGCACACATATCTTGACTATGACAAGATTTCTTGCCTTCGACTGGCTTGAACACTTCATTTGTAGCATCACGGTAGGTCTTGGTTGAAATGATGATCGTCTTGCACGCGGCAACAAACAGAGAACGACACGCTTTGTTCTATTTATACGCTGCCGGTCTACGGGCGTCGCAAATCTATCCCCCTCTTGTCCGCCATGTTGGATCGATCGGAGCGCCCCCTATATTCGCTGAAACTCCTCAATAAACAATAATTCGAAATACCCGGGTGCGATATAACCGGGCTTGGCTGTAATGCCACAGGGACTCGAGGGACACATAGAAAACGGCCGTGCCGTCACAGTACCAGGTTCCCCAGGTTGTAGTAGCAGTCCGGGTACTTGCTCCTGTGCTGGATGGCCATGCGGTAGCTGCGCTCTGCCTCGGACTGCATCCCCAGGCTTGACTGGACAATGCCCAGGTTCATCCAGGCCGCAGCAAAATCCGGCCTGGGACGTGCGTCAAGCTGGTTGCTTAGGACCCGTGCTTCGGCAAGCGTTCAATGCCCGGCCACCTCACGTGCAATATTGCAGAAGTCTTTTAACACACTTCGGTTGACACTGTGTGCCATCCTTGATTGAGAGTTGTGGAAACTGCATGCTGGGCTTGATCTGATAGTGGCTACCTATCATTGGCATGGGCATGGCATTGGCAATTCACTAGAGTTGTCTTGGCATTGACATGCCAAGACAACTCTAGTGAATTGCTCCTAGGAGAACACCTATATGGGGTAGATATCTGGGGATATTCTCTGGAACATCAAAGAACACCCAAACAGGTATTCCTGGATGCCCCAGGAACATCAAGGACAAGTGCCGTTGGTCCCACCTGATCTGGATGGCCCTCTCAAGGAGTTCCCTGGCCTCGGACAACTGGTCCAGGTCCTTGAGGATGTTAGCCAGGTTGTTCATAGCCTGGTCATAGTCCGGGTGCAGACGCAGGGCCTCCCTATAGCCCTCAATGGCAGCGTCCCGCTGACCGCTGTCACCGGCGTTCTTGGCAATGTTGTAGTGCACCTACACAAAGAGTGGCTATTGTGAAACAAGGACCTATGGAAAAAGACCCATGGGTCAAGACCTATGGACAGAAATGTATAGACAAAGGCCTATAGACCTTTCCAGCGGCAGTCTCGACTGAAGGCATTTACAGCGCGCGTCTCTGGTTTTGAGAGTGTACGTCAGTGTTGCCTGACTGCGCTGAGCTGTGGAGTTTCTCGTCAGTGGGCTGCAACAGCCTGTGTAGGTGCAATTCCGGACGCTGGTGGCAGCTGAATTGCCGCGTTTTCTTTTTTAATTTGTGTTCTGTGGCAAACATAATTTATAGAGGTCTTTAAGAAAGCAGTGATCTATTTTTGGGAACAAACACAAAGAAATGAAAGCTGTTTTGGTGAGTCCGTGCGCGACAGAACAAATGCAACTGGAATGTTTGTTTAATTTTATGTTCATTGTTTTACGGCACCGTACACTCAGTTGTGTCAATCTCTAAAGGTCAAAATATTTGACCACACAGGATATCCAAACTGAATGGATATTCCCCGTCCACAACATGAAATTCAATGAGTCTCATCAATCGAACAACATTTATTGTAAGTACCCCACGGTGCCGTGTTATCCGAACACGATTTGAGAAAGCTCTCAAATAACACAGCATATCCAACATACAGTGTCGACGACAGTCACTTCATGACGATCGGACGGAATCCGGCGTGTTTTGGGGAACATGTAGAAGAGAGCTCCTTTTTTTCACAGCTTCAAAACAAATGAACGAATGTGTCTATTCCGTCCCCAAACCCCGGACCCGACTCTATCAGCTATTTTACGCGAAAACCCGGAACACAGCCGGGAAGGCTTTTTGAAGATTATCTCAACGGAAATAATCCTCCAAGAACGTCGAACTGCATGCGTCGCGGGCTGCTTGATGTTCGCTCTCTTCGTTCGTTTCCTGCGAAGGCCGAGCAGGCTACGAGCCCCGGTATTCCCTGGTTCTCACAGTGGACGCTAACATACAAAGGGTAAGCATCCTAAGCAGGCGAATACAGCAAAAACTTCCCAAGAAAAGCCGGCGAACTCCGAATGCAAAATGCAGGTGGGGAGTCATGCTGACCGGGTTTCTACAGCTCAGGCAGGTGCCAGAAATTTCTGGCTGATAGGGGTCGCTCGATTCGCAAAATGGCGGCGGCCAGAGCGCTCTTTTTGCAAAGGTCTATAAACAGAGATGTACAGTTGCCGACCAATTTTTCGGACGCCGATAATTCGGACTTGTTCGATATTTCGAATTTAAACAAGAAACCATGACCTACCTGATAGGAACAGTGCATAATAATGACAGATGTTTTGGACAGCTTGAGGTCCGACAGTTCAATTTTTCAGACAAAATCGTCGCGAGCGATCGGCGCGAAGCACCACCGAGAAGCGGCCATTTTGGATTCTATGCTGGCTGCACATAGATTGGCTTGGTTTGGCATCGCTACATGAGTACTGCTAAGTCCTACCGCTAAGTGACGCTGTATGCCTTTTTTTACAGCGTAGCTGTTAAGGGCTAGTTCCCTCACTATCGTGTCCGCGGACAAGCGGCGTGTCACCACAAAACTTGAGCCAGTTCACCGTCCCCCTCACTCGTGTACAATGAGGAAAGTCGAAAATGTCATTGTCCCACCTACCAATCATGTGTGTCCTGTGTCCCGTGACAACGAGATCGTGCTAGTGCTCTTATCAGTTGCACTTTGGACTCGCAATGGGTCGGCCGCCTGCTGTTTGTTCAGAGAAAGAAGAGCAAAAGCGCAACGAGCGGCGACACGCGCAGCAGCGCGAATGGTTGCGCAAATGCCGCTATCGCCTCGAGTTCCACTGCGTTGAGTGGTTTCGAACGCCTTGCGAAAGAAGAGCAGATCGCCCGCCTGGAACGCCGCTAAGAACAGAAGCAGCGATGTGACCGGCGCTGGTGGGCCAGCACTACGGACGACGATTGTGCCACGGAAGCCAAGAGCAAGTGCGAGGCCCGGCAATGACAGGACGCCTGTCATTGCCGGGCGTCCTGTCATTGTATTCTAACAAGCCTTTCAGGATATTCACAATTTGTGCTAGGGATCTGTATAGAGGCATATCTCCAAAGCAAATGGCTCATGAGCAGAAATTTCATGTAAGGGAACACGCAGTTTCTCTGCACGAGTCCTTTGCCGACAGACAAAGGCCACACATCTCCTCACCTTTGCATTGAGAGGGCACACCTTCAGGCCTGAGCGATACAGGTCGACTTCGCTCCTCCAGTCGTGACTCCTCTGAAACAACATTCGCGCACATTTTGCTTGCAAACAGAACCATTATAAAAACATTTTACTTTCTGTTGTGTCACAGTTCCAAGGACCAAAAGTGCTTTTTTCATTGAATCACTGTATAGTAATTTTTTCACACTTTCCAAACTGGTGCTGGTTGCAGTTTTTTCACTCAATATGTAGCTAGATAACTGGGTGCCTCTGGTGCCTTTTGCCAGTTTCGCACGCAGTTATCTCAGAGTTGTGTATAGAGAGGGTTTGGTCAATGGGAGGCGTGGGCAGAGCCAGGGCGTGCACCAGACGCAGAAAGAGGGCATGACATGCGCTCTTGGCCAACCAGAAGCCAAAAACAATCCCCTAGCAGTGGTAGCGAGAAACAGTTTTTAATCATAGGTATATGGTTTTAATAAGTGTGTAAAGCGCCGTTCACAAATATGCAACCGAGTATGACTGAGAGAGACCAGACCGGTCTTTAAGCCTCTTGCGACGTCTTAGGACCAGCTCCACTGCAGCGCATCCGGCCCTAAGATGTTACAACAGGCTTAAAAACCGGTCTGGTCTCTCTCGGTTTTACTCGGTTGCATGTGTGTGAACGGCGCTTAAAACTTAAATGTAGTAACCCTTCATGCTTGAAAATAGGGTGCACGTGATGTTTCGATTATGATCATGCAGAAAGATGTGAAAACTGAATACGCCACTCAAACTCTGTTTTGCTCGGACAGGGTGTGACCGCTCGGACGGCGAATTTCCGGCCCTCGGCGCCTGGCGTACAAATTATATCGATAGTTCTGCTAGTCGCACTCTTCTACCATGATTTTGGATGACCGTGATTGAAACATCACGTGCACCATATTTTCAATCACCGAGAGTTACTTCGACACAATTATTAAGTATTGGTTCTTGCAACCACCGCCAGGGTATTATTTTTGGATTCTGGTTGACCACATTTGAATTTGTGAAGACACCGTGGAACACGCCCAGCTCGCTTTCAGCCAATGGCGTCTCCCCATTTGTGTCCTATACTTCCCAATGAATGGCCAAACTCTCTGTATATACGGCTCTGGGTCATTGGAGCTAGTGCACTCATTCACCAGCAAACAAAAGCTATATGAAATGTGACCTATATTTACTAAGGATATAGAAAGATACAGTTATTTAATTAAAAAAGCTACAGAGCAATTCACTTTTCTGCCACACTACAACAGTGACATATTGGAGACTGTACTCAGGATCCCCGTGCCAAAATACCTTTTTCAAAACCCCATCAAGCAACATTGGGTGACTAGCCTAAGACCAAAGCCAAGCATCCACTGAAGCAATGACTGGATCAAAGCATATAACACTCAAGTCTAATACCAGCCCGAAATGCATGAGTAAAATATAGTAGCCTCTAGATGGCACACACTTTTACGAAGGATCTGTTGGGCCAAAATCGTCCACAAAATATTTATGGTATATATTTTCACAAGCAAGTTGGTCTTATTTTAACATTTGAGTGGGCTACTGTTGCCTTATGATTTTTTTATCATAAGCACGCACCATTACATTTCAATCTAACACAATTCATACAGAACAAATTGAGGCAACCAGTTTAGGTTATAGGGACTAGGAACCCTCGAGTCTAGCTACACGGTGCGCTCACTCTACAGTGAACTTTTCTCAGATGTAGTTGGCCACTAAAGTAAACTTTAAGTGCATACAACTAGTACTTCATGCAAACTGTCACAACTCGGCCAGATATTTCTATAGTTGAGTGTTCACAAATGGTCAACATGTCATGCACGCAAGAGGCGACATACCTGTATCGATCTGCAGATGAAAACAACCAGTAGGGCCACCAATGACAGTTGTAGAATCTGCAGCCAACAAGAACAAAGTTAAACTTCAGCATTATGTAGTTAAACTTTAGCATTACACAGGTCATTTCACGGACTTGGAGATGCAGCGAAATAACTTTCACAACTTTGTTCCAGTGCCCACTCTCTCGTTTGTTGAATGCCTCCAAATTGGCCAGAATATGTAAGGTGTCCATCTAATGACGTTGCCTGCACAGGCTGTTCTACACTTCCCAAACAGTCTTTGCCAAAAAGTTTGTACAATTAATCTAAACGGAAAGGTCCATCGTCTTTCTATGCATTTCGGCAGTCCACTAACGGGCAGTGCACACCCTCCGTTTCAACTATAATGCCTGGAAGGCGTCCCATACATCAAAAGTGATCTCGAAATGGCAACAAATGACGTCACAGAAAGCGAAGTGCCATGCTGTCGGATGTCCCAATCCTGGTTGTTGGTTGTAGATACGCTGGCAAAAAGCACGAGCAAACGCGAGTGTCGCTGTCGTCACGGCGTCCCAACTCCTGACTGCCGAAGCTTCCATGGACTGTCACACCAGAGAGCAACCTGCAGCAGAACAGGTGTCTGCTATATTCACTACTGCTACTTGAACACTGCCAAGATCGCGACCGGCGACAGCGTGACACTCTTGGGACGTCACCAGGTGGAAATCGAGGGACCACTTTTTTTAACGCGGTAAACACACCAGTCAGAGAAGCGTTCCAGGCACCATAGTTTCAATGTAGTATCAGAGCTAATGCCACAGCGCCCAACGAGCCAAACGGAACGTCGAAGCGAGGCACGCGACGATGCATTTGTCGGAGTGCTTTCTTCCTGCAGAGAGCCATCGCGTGCTTCGTTACATGACTCCGACTGGCTCGTAGGGACTGCGGCATTTGCGCTTCACCAGTTTGTACCACAACAGAGTGCACAGGCACGCATAAGCGGTCGCAGAGGGTGCAAATTTCTGGCATTGGGACCACAAATGAGGACACAGTGAACACTCCAGTGGGAAATGCAATCCTACAACTCGGAATGGGGACAGCCTGGCGTCCTGCCAAGAATGGCACAACAAAGGAAGAATCTTCCTGTCGTCTGCACCCACTGGTGTGTTCACAGCGTCCTTGTTTGTGGCCCCATACGTTGTGTCCTCATTTGTGGTCTTGTTCGCTGTGTCCTCATTTGTGGTCTTGTTCACTGTTCCCTCATTTGTGCTCCCTCAATTTTCGTCTAATGTCATAAAAAAGTGATATGTATTGCCTGCTACCATCCGGAAGATGGCATAGAAGGAGAAGTGTATGTGGTAAATGCCTGTTCTGCTGTAGGTTGCTTTCCAGCTTTTTAATCCACAAAAACTTCAACAGCTCAGAGTGGAGGTGCCACGACGACAGCGACACTTGTATTCTCTCGTCTTTTTTTGTCAGATCTTCTATGACTAACCACCAGGACTGCAACATCCAACAACACAACACGCCAACTTCTACGATGTATAATGTGCTGCAACTTTAGGACCACTTTTGTTGCTCGGGCAGTATGGGACACTAAACGCACCGCTTGAAGATGTGTTCTAAGCACCGTAACGGACCAGAGGGAAACCCCCACCTTTGAATGACGCGGTGCCCACGCTGCGAGGTGTGCCGCCCCGACCACCACGAGGGCACAGAAGCCGAGGCTGGGCAGGTAGAGCACCCTCTCGGCCACCACAAAGCCCACGCGGAAGAAGAGGTTGGAGGCCGGCAGGAAGGGAACCACCATCAGGGCCAGGCACATGCACAGCAGCCTGCATTGATGCGTGACGAAGGCTCACTCCATCCTTCGTCCAGATTTCAAGTAACGCTTTTTTCGAATCCTTTTAACGGCGGTCGCCATTAGAGGGGCTTCCCAGCAGCATTCAAGGCAGCACTGTGCTAGGCAGAAATTTCCACGACGTTGTGGCAACCAATGTACCCACAGTATTGTTGAGCATATGAGAATTTAAAGTTGCCTCAATTCATTTACGATAAACCCAAGAAGAACAGAATCTGTCGTGCGTGTATTATGCATGCGCAATGATTTTTATGCTTGGTTGCGGAGAGCTCTAGGTGGTTTTGAAATTGCTGCACACAAGGCACTCTCGTGATCTCCAAGTTCGTTGGAATGATCGAGACAGGTTTAAATTTCTTCAGGAGTAGAGTGTAGAGTAAAGTGTATTGTTTACGTAGGAATGAGGTGGCCTTTTTGAAGCATCTGTCAACGCGGTAGTGATGTGGATATCTAGTTTGATGTTTTTCCTTTTATTAAATAATAAGTTGGAAGTCGAGCACTTGTCCCGTCTGCACCTTCCTCGTCTTTGTTATTTGTGCGTTTTTTCTTGTTGTATCACAAACCAACCAGCCTGCGTCGCCACTTTGATGTTTTTGATGAGAAGCTTCCCATGGGTTCGGCTTTTTTGGTGGGTGTTCGTAGGGCCTTGAATTCTTAGTGCTCTTGGATTGTAAGGAGCCCCTTTATTGCATCCTTTACTCTATCAATTTACTTTTGTTCGAAGTACTGGTGTCGTACGCCTGCTGCGTTATCCCTTGTTACTCTATGATTCATCCCGTTATGTCGCGAGTCCATGTGAGGTGCTACGCTTTGTGTGGAACCAGCTGCACGTGCTGACGGTCGCTTGTGGATGCTGGACTAAGTGTCGCCGACAGTCGCCTGCAGTCTACGCTCCGTTTCACTTTAAGTCCGATCGCAGCCGACCAGCAGTTCCAAAAATGCATCGTCCCGGCGCTTATTGCTTTTTACGTTTTCCATCGCCAAATAAACCAATCACGCACAATGAAGGCGCCGTGATATTGCGCTTTTTTTCAGTGCGATTGGTAGCAAACCCAAAAAGAAAACAAGCGCCCCGACGATGCACTCTTTTCACTGCTTGATTGGCTCCCTCAAATCGTAGCGTCAGCTGTGATTGGATTTAAGTACAAATATGTTGGACTAAGCGCGACTCGCCACCAACGATCGCATGCAAACTGAATACAACGAACTAAAAATAGCATAACTCGCCGCTCACGGTCATCTGGAGGCTAAGTATGCTGGACTAAGTATAACTTCGACGAATGCCTGCGGACTAAGTACCCTCTACTAAGTAGGAATCACTGCCAACAGTCGCCTGCGGACTAAGTATACTGTAGGACTTGACTTAGACGGTTGTCTGTGGGCTCGGTACTCTAGACTGAATATGATTTGCCGCTGACGGTTTTCGACGAACTAAATATGCTGAAGTATGGACAGTCGTGTGCTACCACAGGCGACCGTCGGCGGCAAGTCATACTTAGTTCAGTTGCTTGCACTCTTGTTCCTCTCCCACTTGTGGTACCAAGCAAAGATGTCAAAATGCGGATCCCATGGTTTGGGCTTATATTCTCGCTGAGCACCTTGGTGAATCTCTCTGGTTTCCATTGTCTACTCCTATAGTTATGATCATGCATGAATTGGTATGACTAATTTGGCCTCCAACATGGTTTGGTTGTTTATGCATTGCCTGGTACGGGCTATACATCCTTTCTGTTGCCTTCGCCTGCGTGCAATGTTTCTTCGTCACATTCGGGCGATAAGCGTTTTCAAGAAATCCACCCCATGAACACATTCTCAAACTAAAAAAATGGATGGCAAATTGCTAGGCAATTCTGTTGAATACATAAAACGTTATAGCATCCCAAGTGTTCAGCGATATCTGCACCTCCTGGCTGTACCAATATGCAATCGGTGTCACGTAATGTAAATTTCTCGCTAAATTTGACGGGGAACCTGAATAGGCGTATACGTCACGTTACATCAGGTCACGTGATGTCAATTTTCCTGCTAAATTTAGCGGGAAAACTGGAGTTATGTGTAGGTCCTATTACGTCAGTTTCTCCACTAAATCTACCGTATTTACTCGCATAATAAACGCACTCGCAAAATAAATGCACCCCCCCCAACGGGCATCAATATTTTGACTTTTTTTTTCTCTCCCGTAATCAATGCACCTCCAATTTTCAGATCCGCGAGTCTCCAATTGCATCATATTTAGCAAGCCACCAAGCCAGTTTTCTTTTGCCGCCAAGGAGTCAGGCCAAGTCAAGCCAAGCCAAGCCGCTCTAGTAATGGTGTAATGGCCGTAAGTGCGTAGTTGCGGTAGTTACGGAAGTGGTCAACCGTGAAACCGAGTGTCGCCACACTTGACGAAGCTTGGGTCGCGGAATTGCCGAACGCCGGCATTCTTCGCCTATGGGATGCATTGATGTCAACAAACAAGCCGTCGTCTGTGGTCCGCTTCCGGACACTGAAATCATGAAAGTGGTTAGGCCTAATTTTACATACTTTGGGTAAATGCGTTTATTTAATCCGTAACAGACCGGCACAGCGAGGTGCACGCTGCGCTGTAGGCTGAAAGTGTCTGGTAGCCTTTTCGTGAACAAAGCTTGATCCGTGCGTGCGGTCTTCGGCGGTTGAACTTCGTACTAGTTCTTGTCTCCGTGAACGAAACTTGATCCATGCGAGCGGCCTTCAGCAGTTGGGGTTTGGACTTGGTAAGAGTTCTCATTCTTGTAGTGTCGGATATACCCGAGCATGCCTGCCGGGTACTAGCAATATATATCGCCTAAGAACGGTCGTGTTGCTTTTCGTGCTGAGGGAGCTTGGTAGGGCGCTTTTCCTTTCGCAAAAAGCACCTCGAAAGCGCCCTAAAAAGGTTTGCAATTTATAAAGCATGGTTATTGTGGCGTGCCACGACCAGCCGTGGGTGCGCCTCCATCACTGTAGACGTGCCACAGTACCTTGCCGTGTCATATTGACACCTAATATGACATTTGCACGAAGTGTGTAAATGCAAAAATTTTACCCCGTATAATGAATGCCCCCCCCCCCCCCCCCCAAATATGTGTCAATTTTTATACGAGAAAAAAAGTGTGTTCAAAATGCGAGTAAATACGGTAGTGGGGATACTTAATTTGTGTATAGATTACGTTACACAAAGTCACGCGACATAATTTTTCCCACTAAATTTAGAGGGGAAACTAATTGGTGTTTAGATCACGGGACGTGAATTTTCCCGCTAAATCTAGCGGGGATTTTTAATCTGGCTTCACAACATCTGGGGCGACTACAGCCATGCGATACGAAGTTATGTGACATCATTTTCCCCGCTAAATTTAGTGGGGAAATTGAATTCGTATTGAGGTCATGTGACATCAATTTTCGCGCTAAATCTAGCGGGTAACTGAATTTGTGCAGACGTCATGTGACAGAAAGTCATGTAATGTCATATTTTTCTGCTAAACTTAGCAGGGAAACTGAATTGTGTTGAAGTCACGTGATGCCCATTTTCCTGCTAAATCTAGCGGGGAAGCTTAATTTGACTTTACTTAATCCGGCTTCATGAAATTCGGAACAACTAGCCAAAGAATGTTTCACGTTAAAAAAATGGCCAAGGCATGCAGAAAATAGCGCTTAGAACTAAAACAGTGACAATGTTTGTTCATGGCTTTCTTCACTCAATTTATTTGAGTCGGACCTTGTCCTTCCCCAGGACGGCATCAAATCATGTGCCCGCATGCAACCCGAGTAGGTTGTTTATTTCTTTATTTTGTTTCAAAATACTATCAGTCCCTCATGGGACTATGATATGAGGGGCTTAATAGAATCCGTGGCAGTGTACAAAAGAAAAAAAAAACACGTGTTAAAATGATAAATCACGGTAAAAATAATAATGAGACATTTGCACGAAGCAAAACATTACAGCAAGCGAATATCGCTTGCCAACACAAGAAACTGCTAACAAAAGGTAGACACAAATAATGACCGTCATTAACAATCGTCATTGACCCCTCAACCAAAAGATGGTGGGCGCACCCGCATGCCTGGCAGTGCCACGAGGCTGGCCCCTGTCTCGGGCTGGAGCAGAACATCCCGCTATATTACAGTAATAGTTACAGAGATAGCTGAACGGTACCTATCTCGACTTCGACTCGGGCAGGGACACTGATTCATGTCTGCAGTGTGTTTTCTTTCCTCCCTACTTCATTGACCCCGAGGCTCTGATGCATGAGAACGGCTAAATAAAGAGTGGATATTCACAAAAGAGTGAGTTACTATGTGCAATGAAAGCTATTGCTGTAAATTTTTGGACATTGAAGCAAAAAGCTGCAAATTTTTTGTAACACCGAAAAGTGCCCATGGTTTGTTTCGCTGTACGTGAGAGCAAAGCCGAAGCTACAACCATGAGCACGTTGGCCCGGATGACGCTTGCACTGTACGAGCGCGTGTGCTAAGCAGGCCGAAAGCCCGGGGCTCGCTGATCCGGCCCCTGCTGCGCTCAAACCTAAACAAAAACGGAGTACGGTCCTCTCCTATGATGTATTCTACGATAGAAATCGTAGCCTCTAGCAAAAGCCGCAGAGAGAGAAGCAAGCGCAGCTTACCTGCGTAGCCTCGCGTCTCTGCCGAGGAGCGCCTGGTAGGCGAGGAGTGCCCCCGCGATCCAGAGGGCGGCGACTCCGAGCAACCTCGGGTCCGTGGCCGACCGGATGAGGGCGAGGCAGCCCATGGACCAGTCGAAGCACAGCCACTCCGGGCAGAGCAGCAGCCACACGTTGAGTGCATACACGTGCTGGTAGTTGGCCACCTAGGCAGAAGAAACCACAGAGTTCAGCCGCCTGTGGCGTCATCATTCTCATTTGGTACTGGAACTTGCCCAATAACTCGCTTCCCACAATGAAAGTTGTGGGCAGCAAGTTGGACAAATTTGTGTGACCGTCATCAAGATTATGGTCATACAAGCACTCATGCTTACAATCGCATTGACCGGACCATATGTGTCTTAAAGTTCAAATACTGCGTAGTGCGGACTACAGTATAGACCAATTACAACGTAACCGCTTATAGTGCAGGACAGGGTATAATGCGTCTCTTTTAAACCACCGGTTTGCCTCCCATAGAACTCTATGTAACTAAATACCGGTTATAGTGCGGTTTCTGGAACAGCGCGCCGACGACCGGCGCGGTGAGCACGCTTCCCTGTGCAACACTAGACAACGGCGCCGACGTTGGCCGACGGCCCTACCCGCAAGCGGCACTCGCAGGGCAAGGAGGTTGCTCGAAGAAGCGAAAAGAGAGGCTTCAGTTGCCATAGCGACGGAGGGACGCACGCATGTGTCGTTCACATGGATGCGTTCCTCCACTGCGTTGGAAAATGGAAACAACCGCAACGACAGACCAATCGCAGGTCGAGGAGAAGTGTTCGCGCACGTTGCATGCCGGTCGCGGGCTGGCCAGGCCGGCTTCATCTATCCGCAAACATGGCGTCGGTTGTGATCGTCGACGTAGACGGCGTGGTGGAAGCTCATCGTTCCGCGGAAAAGCGCCATCCTTGACTGGGAATTTTCGTTCTGTGTCGCTATGATAACCCAGCACGTACTAGAAGGGAAGACCCACCTATACGTGCGGCGATGTCGTGGCGGCACTCTCAAGACGGCAGAAACGCCCGTGTCGTGTTTGTTTACTTCTGACTACAGTGGTGCTTTCTAAGCATTTGTGTTTTCGAACATCGCCCGGATTTCTTATTTAGAGCATTTCATGCGTGTGCTCGAGTTGAAGGTATTACTGGCGCGTACCGTATGAGGGATGCGAATTTTCACGCGTTTTCATCACCGGAGAAAAGTGATTAGAGTTAGCAATCATGAACGCTTGCAACATCCGTCCGCAACCTGCGACGCCAATAAAAAGCTGGCGCCAGGCAGAAGTCACTCATTTCTTTCAAAATGTGACACACTTGAGAGAGAAGTGTAGTCTGGTGAAATAGACTTTCCTTAAACTAAGCTTTATTTTTCATCTAGTGTAAAATAAATTGTTTTACAAAGGTAAGTTGTCTCATGGCATGTATTTTGGCCTGAAAAATTGATGTTTTGGTTATAGCGCGGTACCGCTTATAGTGCGGATTTGCGCGACTCCCGCGACATACGTTATATCCGGTCTACACTGTACCTAAAAGTGAAGACTATACAAGGAATTTTTTTTCTCGACTGTACATTATGACGAGACGTGACGAATTTTATGAATGACAGACCATGTTAATGATTATTTATGCATGATACAAGCTTCTTCATGTCCTAATAAAGCAGGTATTTGTGAAGGTATACTACATATGAGAAGTTTTTATGTGTCAACTAAGCACCAGGTGAAGACTATCTAAGAAAAATCTTTTCTTAGATAGTCTTCAACAGGTACGTGCTGTAAATTGAGACCACATTAACGATAGTTTCGCTGGGCTGTTTCAAACGTTTTCATGGCCTAGTTCGGGACATCTGCGCCGACTTTTGTGTCTGCACAACAGAAAGTGTTGCCTGATCTTTACCGAAAGGATTTCAAAACCTCGTTGAAAACATAGCTTCGTTGAGGCCCAAAACCGATTTCTTCATTCCTTTTGGACGAAACCGCGAACGGGGTGGCGGATGCTCACCCTGATCCAGAGACTTTCCTCGAACGAGGCGGGGTTGTCGATCTTCTGGAAGACGGGTGACGAGGAGCCCATGACCTTCCAGCGCAGCGCGAGGGCCCAGTAGCCGGCCGTTGTGAGCGTTGCCTGACGTAGCACCAAGGGCAGCAGCCACTTCTGGAGACAGAGACAACACAACTCACTCAACAGACCCTTTTCAACAGTGCGCTGCACCACCTAGTGGCCGCTGTGCCAATCATACAAGTCCACCATAGATTAATCGCGCACTCTGGGCATGTATTGGACTGGCGAAGGCTTCGTCGGCGTCAGGCGAGGATTCGAATCATACCAGACGCTTCGCGCTCTAGAAATGCCGAGTACCAATGCTGCACGATGAGGTTTTGAAAAGGGCTTACTGGAAACAGGAACACTAAGAGAGTGCCGTTGGAAACAGCGGCGGGGGGGGGGGGGGGGGGGGGGGAGAAAGAATGAGGGGGAGGGGGGCAGTTTGTCGAGACGAAACCAGGGAAGGTATAAAAAACTTGTATAATATGTTTAGTTATGCTTGTTTCTGAATTTGGTCTGTGAGTCAACAGCCTGTCTCCATTCAGATCACTGGAACAGGGAAACCAAAATGTCATGAAAGCGGAAGGCAAACAAAATAAGATGTCAGTGGTACTAGTATGATTGTGAGTCATGACCATAAAAACTCAATACCAGAGAAGATAAGTACAAAAAAGATTTAACTTAAAACGTTGCACGAAAAGGTTTACAAGGGTCTACAAATGTTGCGAAGAAGGCAGTTATTGTTGACTTAGCGACAGCTCTGTTGGTATGTTATACTAACTAATTCGTTTAATGTTAGAGATGAATTGCAGTACATACACATATAGGTGATACAAAATGCGGGCAAGAAACTAGGTTTTTGTGTGCTTTCTGTTATGAAATATACAACGCCCATGGAGTTTTAGAACATCAATTGATGAGGCACTGTATGTTACATTTTTTTCATGTCAGTATATATTTAAATGTCACGTTGCATTACTTCACTGTGCCAGAAATTTATTTTGAGTTGCACTTTAAAATGCCTATAGCTTACACTTTTGTAGGGCAACCTTAAAACCGAAAAGCAACCTTTGAACGCAGAATCTGTTATATGGCTAGTTCCTAACCATTTATTTGTCCCGCTACGTCGGCGTCTGGCGAACACTCGCGTTTTCTGGATCTGCCTCAAGGGTGAGAGGCAGATCCAGAAAACATGAGTGCCCGCCAAATGCTGACGCAGCGCTCGTATCCTCGCTGGTCCACGAGTCACATCACGCGAGCAAGCATAGAGATGTGCCAACTATGTGCTTGATACCTTAGCACGCACTAAACGGTCGAGCTCTCCACGCTCTCAGCAATCCTGCCCCCCAGCACGTGCGCTCTCTAATTTCTCCTTCTTTCTCGATACGCCGACGCGCTCACTTGACTCAGCGCTGGTGCTCTTCTTCTGTTCCACTATTCTTGCAGCCCTACACGCCGTGCGAACCACCATTGGTGCAAACACTGCACCCACAGGCAAACTGCAGAGCATGCCACCCGCAAACAAAACGTACACGGAGCGCTTGCACACTTATTGTGCATGAAAGAAGGCTGTGAGGCCGGTTGTGGCAACGAAGCAATCGCTCGCTGCCTGGCGACTGCAGTGACCAGAGTTGGTGGAAAGTGCCTGGCACGCACAAGCTTGCGATCTGAGCCCAAATACTTCTACTGTTCGCTCTTCACTTTATGTGATGCGGGGTTGCCGCCCTTAACACTCCAGAACGCAAGGAATGCAACGACCAGTCGGCACTCTGGTGGTGAGTACCATTTTACCAACGGCCTTCGACGACAGACTAGAGCATTTCGTGCTGTGATGTTCATGCCGTCGCGCCTCAACATACTTGCCAAGTCTGCCTGGCCTAAGACGTCACATTTTTTGTTACCACTACCTTTGCCATACCAGTGCAGGAAAGAGATGATTTTTGAACTGTTCATCTCATTTGCATGAAATTTCCGGAGCATATTTGTAGGAGTGAGAAAGGATACCATATGCAAAACTTTCAAGTTTGTAAATTAGCCCTTCGAAGGGTCGCATAAATGTACATCGAATAAACACTTCATCCATCAAGGAAGGCTATTATTGTTGAAAAACAGTAATGACAATGGTCAGTTTTCTTGGTGCAACACAAGATAACACCCATATCACACGGCTTGGGAAATGAATTACAGAAATTATACAATTTGTATTAGAAAAGTCAAATTTGGGGTTTTTACGTGCCAAACCAATGACAGGCATCTGGCACGCCCCAGCGGAGGACTGAGGATTAATTTCAACCACCTGGGGATCTTTTGACGTGCAACCGAAAGCTCGGTTACACGGCGTCTTCTCCGCAATAAGCCTCCGTCAGATTGCGGGCACCTCGGCCGGGATTCGAACCCGCCACATGGGGATCCGTAGGCCGACACTCTCGCCTCGGAGCCACCGAGGCGGCTTATTTGTATTAGAAACTGAAAAGTTTAATGCATTAGGTTGAAAGAACTACAAAGTTTCATGACAAAAGAGTATGCAAATGCAGAAAGTAGGTTCACAGCTGCCAGGGCCGGCCTTAGAGCAGCAAGCGCCCTGGGCAAACTGCAGCCGTATCGCCGCGTTGCGCCGCCCCGCCCCCCGCCCCCCCCCCCCCCCCACACACACACACTATTTTCGCACCCAACATCACGTTGTTAGCAAACATGCCACAATGACCCAGTGCGAATGGTCGCGATTTTGTCGTTGTCTGTCGAAAACCACATCCTAAAAACGAACGACGTTCGCGAGCATTGAGAGTTTTGTCGGCAACGTGTTCAAAGGTTCAAGAATAATTTATTTCTTAAATTAACCGAACTTCAGCTGTGGGTTTGCAATAGCAAGCTAACGTCTGATGGACGCAGAAAACAGAAGCACAAGTTAACTATGTAAATACCCTATAGAAGGCAACCTTCCGAGCCTTCAACATCGCAAATTGGGCTACGTCTTGTGACATATCCAGGCTAGACGGTATCCTGTTTTCAATGGACGAAATTGACAATGACGATATCCTGTCATCTGCCATGGTTGATCTGCGGTATGTCTTAATAAGCTTTAATTTCGAGAAACTCCTCTCAGCGGTGGTCACTGACACTGGCAAAGTGCGGAGGATCCTCAATGACACCCACGTATAAGGGAATTTGTCACATAGATGATTGACCATAATGAACTGGAGGACGTCCTGGCTAGCACTGCATCCAGTGGGCAGAAGGCTGCATAGTTATATCAGCTCCCCGCAGAGATCTGTACCGTCCATGTCTGCACTTTCTAGGTGTCGCAGACTCTCAGTGCATGGTTTAAGTTTAAGTTCTGCTTTGTGGGGAAGCCGGCTGAGGCCGTAGAGGAACCGCCACAAGCTCACGTGCTGCTGCATTTGCGTGAAGCATTCTTCAATCGACATCTTACGGTGTCAATCATCTCGTAGAAGAGCTCTTGCTTGAATTTTGTCTCGACATCATCAACCTCGTCTTGGCACTCAAAACAGAATCGCCGCTTTTTCCTCCGACGTGGAGAGGGGCCCGGTTTCATCACACTGTCAACACCCATGCTCTCGGGAAGACTATTCGCAGTTGCCAGTTGCAGTTTCGTGCCCGACATCGGGATAATTGTCGATGTAATTGCTGAATGCTTTCATCAGCTGCGTGGTTGCTACGATTTCCTTCGTTTTTGCATTACATGTCCTTGCTGACAAAATGAACTTGAAAAACGAATGTCGTACCACACAACAATGTAAACGAGAAACTTAATTTCCGTGAGCTGCCCAGCAGGAGTTCGAGGTTCATGTCGGACGCCAGGGTCTGCCTGCTGTGATTCGGCCATTCTTGCGCAACATTATTAATTTAGTTGTTTTTAGCGGTTTTCGAGATTCTTGTGGCGGGTTTCTGAATTTCGAGTTGGCAACATTGATCGGCATTGCCAGTCCGGAGTTGTAGCTGGTCGCTCACACACACACACACACACACAAAACGAAAGAGCTGCGGATCCACATTATATTTTCAGTCGGGTTGAAGCCTCTGTGCATAGAGACTCACCGGATGCTAAGGGGGCATTGGCTCGTTTAGCTTACTGCTAGAGACTCCACAGCGATCGTTGCCCAAAGTGCAGCTCGAATATCGGGAGGAATCGGGTTCAATTTACCCCCGGTCAGACCTCCTGAGCGGAGGCATTCTTCGGCTCAAAATAACTTGGCAAATGCGAAGCCTATATTTTCTGCGAGCCAATCAGAGACTCTGAGCGAAGCATGTTATAACTAAGAGCAAAATTCCGTTCCAATAGTCCCGTGACTTGCTCCGACACACTGATTTGCTCGCCGATGAGTTTGGCGCCACCGTTTGGTAAGTTGCACTAAGAGTACAGCATGCTGGCTCCATCGCTTTTCGCGAGTCAGGTTTTACTCTGCTCGTAATTTGAGAGCTGTGCGGAAGTGATCGCTTGCCTAGTCGTTCATGATTCATTCCATGCCACTTTGAACCTTACGGAGGAGAGGTTCTCTGTTGTAAAACATCTGCAGGTGGCTACGAGTTGATGGACGCCAGTTATAACAAGAACTTAGTCGCGCCACCACCTTTTTCTACATGGGGGTGGGGGGGGGGGGGGGGGGGGGGCGCCTTCCGCGATGCGGTTGTTTTTTGTTTTTGATTTTATCCCCTCGAGGTGTGAGCCCTGCATGACCTGGCGGCCCTTTCGGCGCCCCCCTATGAATGGCGCCCTGTGCGGCTGCACAGGTCGCCCACCCCAAAGGCCGGCCCTGACAGCTGCATCCCTTACAAAGTCTCAATATAGATACTCCAGAAATTGGCTGCTCTCATCATTTTATTCTCAAGAAATAGCTTTCCTGAACTGAGATTTCATGCCACACAATGATATCTAGACAAAACACATCTGAAAGTTGAGTAAGTTCCACTTTAAATGATGCCAACATATTAAAAAAATTTCCAGAAAAAAAAAAGGAAAACATTTGTTTACAGTTTTTAAACTTGATAAGACAACTTTTTAATAAGAATTAGACTTTTAAGGCGAAATTGTAATTTTAAGATTGTTCAAAGCATAGCTCCATAATATGCAACAGCGACATGAATGCCGCAGAGCACCCATAACGATTGAATAGTCACTCATTTTCACGACGCAATGAATGTATGATGCTCCATATTATAGTACTAGTGGTTGCTCGGCTCACCTGTGCCCCGGCGAAGCGGTTTTGTAACAGGGTGATGATGCGAGCGAGGTCTATTTTACAGATGACGACGACGTCGTAAACAAAGCACACCCCCTGCAAATGAGAGAGAACAGTGCTTAATTCGACAACAAAAGGAAATATGAGGAAAAAAAAAACGAGAAATCAGTTTATAAAGAATGCTCACAATGACAGTGATGCCAGGCTCCTTGCAGAGCATGGAGACGACGGCCAGTGCGGCAGACCCCAGCAGCCAGAGGCACGACGAGCGGACGTCATACTGCAAACCACCCTCGCCACACGGGGTGTCTGCACCAACATTATCGCAGAGATTGCGTCGTTAGCTGGCGATGTCTCAAAAAAAAATCTAGGGCAGAGTTCTAAATGCATGGCATCTACAGTAAAACCTCGTTCTAACAAAGTTGAAGGAGCGGTTGTAATCATTTTGTTATAACCATTAGTGTGTTATAGCCAATGTCCATTTCTTCCCACTATTAGCAAGCAAGGGGAATTATGATTGCTTTGTTATATCCATTAGTTTGTTATATCCGATTTTGCTATAATGAGGTTTTACTGTATTGGGCCAGTCCTCAGGGTTTTTGTGTCAGGTTAGACCATGACATGATATTGTGGTGTCACGTGCCGCAGAGATGACCTTATATATTCGTGAGACCTTCAGATCGTGCCCTTCACTGGCCTCCTTACTGTGCCCTAAAAAAAAGAGGTGCGGAAAGGTCCTATATATGCTACGCACCTTTGGGAAATGCCTAATCAAATTGAGCCGAATGCCTACATTTTTTTTGTGAAAGTATGTCACATTGCCCGGGGGCTTCACTTCAGAGAATAGCGCGAGAGTTTGCCTCATCAGACAATTATTTTTAGTTTCTGCGTGTGTCTACATTTTTATCCGTGGCAATATTGTTTAAAGGTGAGACAACCAAAACTTACTGGCACAGCACGAATGAACGAAGCACAGAAATGACAGCACGAAGAACAGGGCACAAAGCAGGTCAGCCCTTCCTACAACAGCAGACACCTGAAAATACCAGAAAACGATTTTCAACAAAGAAACTAAGATATGGTGTGTCTCATAATGATTTCGTTAACGTTGAAGCTTGGGCGAGTTGGCTGCTCATATTAACACACACTACAGAGCACTACTGCAAAAGCACACTCACACCATACACTCACTCCTTACACATGAAAAAGAAAAGAAAAATTCAAATGAACCGCGCTGACTGACAACTTGTTTTTATATACTTTGTCTTCTACGTCTGGAACTGCCGAATTTCCCGAATCAAGCGCACCAATCTCCTAGGTGCCAAGAAAAGTTTTTTTCTTTTAATGCGAAAGCATTAACCGTCTCATGAAGGGGGCCGACGTCATTAGCTTTGAAACCGTGCCAAACGGCACCTTAAATCCTTTCTCCAAGTCAAGCCAGCTCCCAGCTATGAAACCACGTGCAAAGCTAGCCAACAGCACCTTTTACACTTCAATCCCATTGCCTGGCATGCAATGACGAGGCTCTCATTCGCCGGACACGCAGCACCATGGGGTAGCCGGTCGTTGAAACTGACGCTGCACATCAGTTTCAATGGATTGGCTACTTTACGGCACTGCGTGTCCGTCAGCACGCCAACACGCGGAGGGGAAGTATGATGTACATGCTTTTGCATTCACAACTCATAAGAAGTGCTTAGCCTTTTTCTGTCAGGTTCAAAAATGGTGTACTAATCCAGTTTTCATAATTCCTGGTGATGAGTTCGGCTTCAATAATTCCTCTAGTTAATTGATTACTGTGCCTACCTAAAATTGTACAAGATGGCAAGGTGGCAGAGACCAATGACAAAATCAGCAGCACACCCACAATCCCGACAGTGAATACTTGAAGTGTCCCAATATTACCATGTTTACAAAACCGTTACAATGTAAACAAGGCAGTATCGGGAGACATTCACTGTCAAGACTGTGGGTGGGCTGCTGATTTTGGAAAATGCTCAGTCATTGAAAGAAGCGGCAATGCTCTGATCAGAGAAATCATTGAAGCGGAGATGATTGCGCACCTAAAGGAAGATTATGTAAGTGCCCCATTTATTCTACAGCGAAGCTGTTTTATGGCTAGGGTTCCGTGCATTTTTAGTGTTGTCTCAACAAAAACTGAAGCCATGTCTACGCTCGCACCACCCTCTCTTTGTCGTCATTCCAAGCGCTTGCGTGCCTATAGTTTCCTTTCCTTCCCCGGGGTGGCGATCCCATCGCGTGCCTACTTTCTGCCGGGTGGCAGTCCCGTTGCGTGCGTCTAGTCCACTCCAGCTCCTCGGGGCGGCGATAGTCCTCCACATGTGTGTGCGTACCTTTTGTCACAATGACCACCGATCAAGACAATAAATGTGTTGGTACCTTTATTTAAAACTCTGTCACGTCTGTGTTGTCTGCTAAACAGCTTTGCTGGTCATTCACCTTCACAGAGTGGAATGGATCATGACTTTGCTATCTGGCAAAGAGTTACAATTTCTTGCACAATGACAGCATGCGAGAAATTATTTTTTCTTGGTTGGTTGTCGAATATAAGACTGTGCCTTGACAATTAGACTTCAGTTGTAAGCTCAGCGATTGTTTGTCCTATTTCTTCTGTCCTGTCTTTGCCCGCTGTACCTTTTAATTACTATGCCTTACCAACATGCCCAATCTTCCATTTTGGACAAAAAGGTAAATGAAGGGGTCTAAATGCATGTAAACTGACCTTAAGGCTCTGGAACGGAGAATAATCAACCCTACTCACTCAGTGTATGTGGTGTGGGACAGCCAGCATCAATAAAAAAAAAAAGTTTTAGTGCTTGGCTGACAGTCTAAGGTTTTGGGGACAACAAGAAGGCCTTCAGGGACCTCAAAGGGTCTGCGGACCCAGGTTTAAGAACCACTGTTCTAGGGGAACATTCCTCCAGAGCAGCAAAAGGCATTCAACAAATTATTTTCCTGGAAGAGTCTTGTACCACAATCATCTTTCAGCTCCACATGCTTGACCGAATTGGGTTCCTAGCGGTGTACAATTTTAATTGCCTAAGAGGGACAGTTTAATTCCCAACCCAGGGGTCAATCAAAAAGAGCAGTTGTCAGGACTTGTTTTACTTCTCTGGCAAGAGTGGGCTGCAACGTGTCAGATTTACAACATTCATCTGCAACCTGACTCCCAGGGATAATTCTCTGATGACCAGAAAATCAAGGCACCTATTTCCAGCAAAAAGAGCTTCCGGAATTGAAGAATTGGCACTGAAACCTCGGTTGTGCAAGCTACCACCCATTATAGAGGGTGCAACCATCAACATCCACCCATCCACCTTCTGAATGACCAAAAAATGTGAAACTGAATTGTATTAAAAAAACAACTTCAAGACCAAAGAAGAATGAATGAAGTTCAGAATTTACAGATGGCATTCAAAACAGCCACACTATTTTCTTCTTTTTCAGAGGTGCCTTTTTCATTCAGGTGAATATCTCCATGAGTGGCCTTGCACAGCCAGCCCCTTGAAGAAGTTTCCATTGGCACAACCCTGTCTACTACTTTGCTGTTACAAGCTGCCTGGCGAGTGCTAAAATCGAGCATTCCAAGGATCCATTTGACACCATCAAATACGTAACACATGGAAGCTTTCACACTGACACCCAACAACAAAATGGTGGACTGATGTCATGCGAAAAATCCTTGTAGACAAACTAGTATCATTGGTGTCAGGGTAGCTGCTCTGCCCCCAGCACGCACTTGTTGCCTTCCGCCCAGCTTGAACTGCACCTGGCACCAAGTGTTATTGAAGGCAGAAGGCCTGCGCTCCACGCTTAATTAAAAATGCCCATCCATTGAGTTCCTAACCTGCCGCAGACTATGGGCTCACTACGACATTCAAACTCTCACGAAAGGCCAAAGCCAAAAACACTCTGGGCCGGTTTGCTGGTGAGTGTAGGTATCTCTCCTCTCAATTAAAATAAAGCAGCAGGAGGGATTTTGAGGTCACGTGACCAGCTTTGTGGGAGGAAAATACTTAGCATTCCAACCGATTCTGCTTAGCAGACTAAGCATTGCCTGCCATTTTCTTGAATTCTTGCTTGACGCAACCTTCCCCAGAAATAACAGCGCAAGCCACTACTAAAGTACACAAATGCAATTAATTTTATCTACATCTCAAGCCTGTTCTCTCTCTTTCTCAGCGTAAAATACAACTTGAAGAATCGAAGTGAGGACAGACTTACGGCAGTCATTTGTCCGGAATGCTAGGTACCTTTTGTTATTTCTCCCCAGGGAGCTGGTCATGTGACATCAAACCCCTGCTTGCGGCAATTTTAATAGCCAGGAGACATACCCGCCTCCGCCGGCAAACTGGCCCAGAGCACGCGCCAAAAACGGCAGACACACATTTTCGGTGTGGACGGGATGAACGGCAAAGAGGAGGGCACACAGGAGGGAGGCACGTGGTGCCCCCTGGAGGAGAACCGGGAAGAGCGCCCCCAGGCAAAGCAGGGACACCGCCGCGTGCAGGGCCAGGTTCACCAGGTGGAACTGGGGGGCACTCAGGTCGCCTGCTACCAGGCAGTTGAGCCTAAAAGGGGAGAAAGCAGCGACCTTTTGCAGATTTGACATAACTCTGCAGTGACTGCCAAACACAAGATGCTGCCAGTGAGTCTCAAGAAAGCTTGGTGCTCTCATACTGCCTTAATCTAAAGGTAAGTCGGAGGCAATAAACAGAGGCTCCTGATTGGCTCTTGCAGTCATTAAGCCCAGTGTGCCATAATGGCAGCCAATATGGCTTGGACTGCCAACGTGGTTTATAGTCTGTCGCAGGCATGGAGGCAGAAATAAGAGGAGGCAACATACCGGCTCAAACCAGCCAAACGAAAAAATCTCAAGTGAAGCTGGAAGTATAGGTCGTGGTCGGTGGGAACGCCCCCAAGGGTGCCTAAGTCCGTCCAATAGCGTCTTTTTGGTCATCGTTGGGGGTGTGTTCCTCCAAATCGGAAGACTCCCCAGGCCTGACCTCTGTCTGGTGACATCATGTCGCCTCCAGAAGCTTCCTACTTCCATGGTCGCAGGTTACGAAAAGCAGGACAAGCTGTTCCCACAAAGCCCCCCCCCATATTTCCACTTTAGCAGAGCGGATGCTGGAGAGGAGGCAGGTGGAGATGAGAAAATTACCAATTATGGTGAGCACAGGACTTCTTGGGAGGGGCTTGTCTTGCCTTTTTGAAACTCCAACCAACTATACACTCCGTGCGGGAACTATAGGGGGCGCTTTGAAAAACGCGCGCGGCGCCGCTAGCGGAGGAGCTGGTGTTCGACTGTGAGGCGCGTTCAGCAGCCTGCGGCGCCTTTTCGCATGCCATGCTGTGGTGGCGGAAGCGCGCACGGACGAAACTTTTGCTTTTTGAGCCGATAAGTTGAGGGTGACGTTGTTTGAGTGCTGGGGCAGACCTAAGAAAGGCATTTAGCTGTTCTCCACTTCTTATATATTGAGTTTGAATCGTTATTCGGGGGAATTTCTCTAGTTGCGGCCAAAAAAGGAGTTGGAGCGATTTTCCGAAAAACAAGACGGCCGCCACCATACTTGCTCCGAGTGGGAAATTTATTTCGCTCTTCGCTGTAAACGTAGAACTGCTGGAACAATGATATTGGAGGCGAGTGAGATGTTCACTAAGTTTGTGCACGAAGTGTGCCAAGTTTCATTAAAGCGCGAAACACATTTACGACGAAACCGTCCTATCCGACGTCCGACCACGCAGTACAACGGTCGGAGGCGAGGGTTTTCAACGCTCGACTCCGATCCGCACGCCGGATCGGACGGTTTCGTCGTACATGTGTTTCGCGCTTAATGTGAAAGTTATGCTTTTAACGAATGAAGAAATAAAGCTGTACGAGATATCCAATATTGGACCCAAAATGTTGTGTTATAGCGGGCTGTGCAAAGTGCAGATTTGGGTACACAGGAGCTTGGACTTGACAGTAACATGACACAGCACTTAGTACACAAAAAAAAAAGAAAGAGGAAAAACAGGTGGAAATTCGGTTTGGGCGGCGTAACTCAAAGGGAACCGGTTTTGAGCATGAAAAGGCTGTCAAGAGAATACTACTGGTCGGGGGAGGTGGAGACTTTAGAGGTAGGAAGGGACTAGTGGACTGTACTTCCAATTGAAACAGCTTTACGAAAGGTGGTTCCAAAGCCGAGAAAAAAAAGTTGTCGGCCAACACACGGTTTGGCCGCCAAGGGCTTTTTCGGTCAGCTGTTGTGTAATAACCTGTTGTGCGAGGTGCTGATTTTCGGCGCACAGGTACTTTGACATGACCGTCACTTAGCAGAACACTTATTATAACAAAAAGAGTTGGCATAGCGAAACCAGGTGGAAATTTAGTTTGGGCGGCGTAACTAAATGGGAACTGGCTTTGACCGTCAAAGGCTCTCAGATAATACCACTCATCGTGGGAGGTGCACACTTCACAGGTAGGAAGGGACCAGTGGACGGTACTTCCAGTTCGAACCACTGTGCTATAGGTGGCTCTAATGCCGAGAAAAAAAATTGCTGTCTACAGAACTCGGGGTGTCAGCGTTTCCACATCCAAAAGGAGGCTGATCAAGAAAGAAAGCACACCACATAAGCTTCCATACTCAAACGTCGATTCTACAGTGATTCCAAGTTTCATTGTTGTTCTCTTTAGATTTATATTTGTCACTTTTTTTACCGTTCAAAATTATCTTCATGATGTACAGATAGCGTGCCATACCTATCCGGAAATATCATCGACACGTACGATGGGGACGAAACTTCTTTGGAGGGCATTCCTCCAATGAAATTGGCACTGCATACCCGCGAGTGTGGGATTGCATTTCAGTTCGTCCCATCGGCGCTGACACATGTAGGCGTTACTGATACGAAAATAAACGCAGAGCGCAAAGCGGCAGTGTAGAATATATCAGCCGTGCCGACGCAGTGCCAGTCATGATCGGGAGACCAAATTTCTTGCGTCGTATGGCACGGCTCCATCGTTGTCGCTGACCCACAAAACATCGGCGAGGTGAAAAACTGTGAAACTTTGTCTCCACGAGATACGACGCGTAGCTATTGAAGTACTTAACGACGCAGCACAGGCAGCACTTCATGCTGTGAACCCAGCGCAACCGCACCACCCCGACTTCAATGCGTACCAACGTACGGGGCGTGGTTTCGGTTTCGTTTTCTCTGGGGCTCTCACTGCCTACCTTCCGTACCGGCCGCGCGGCGGCGCGCCAGTCGCGTCGCACGGAGTCTATAGTATGGTGAAGTGTACTTACACTTTCGCTGGTTGAGGTTACATACCAAATAGAGCGTAATATCCCAAAATCTAGCCCACCCCTCGAAATTGCATAACTTGTATTCAGGCAATTCGTGTGACAGAGAAGGTAATTTATGTTTTGATGAAAATAGGAACTGCACACTTGTAATGTTTCCAGGCTTTTGCCCTTTTGCTACCTTTTCTGGTGCAGCAGTAACTGGTTTGGCTTTTTCACCGATTTTAGGTGATGAAGTCCTGTCCATTTGAAGTAGGTACTATAAACGTTGGTTTTTAATGTCACTGAAAATAAATAGCAATTTATTATGCTGAATTTAGTGACAGGCAAGTGGCAAAAAGATAAAGTAGGTAAAACCCTCTTACTCAAATAATGGGTCTTGTAAACAAGAATTATTTTGCTATCCGAGGAAAAACATAATAGCCTTATAGCAAACATTTGGCAAATAACTTGAATCTAATACTAATTCAATCATAAGCTTAAAATTTATTTCAATAGATTCATTTTTGCTTTGTCAATGGTCTAAAAAAGCATGTTTCACGGCTTTTATTACCTTAATTAGATGGCACACACCTTCAAAATCTTACATGCACGATGTCATCAGTGCACATGACCAGGAAACGAGAGAGCTCTATCTGTGCACCCGATCCTCAACCAACAGCTATTGTCCAAAAGAAAAAAAAATCTTTCAGGCAACAAATTTTTTTCTATTTTATTTTCTAGGTGGTTGGGTTTCTCTGGATTTGTGTTTCAGTAACAAAAATAAAATCAATATCACAAAATGTGTTCTTTTGCAAAGTTTGTCGTTGACTTTTAACCCAATATGGCCGTATAATATAGTCATGCGGTTGCCCATACACTTCCCCACCCTCCCAGAGCTCTTTTGGATCTTTTCTGCCATGTCAAATCACGTGATATGGACATACAATATAATCGCGTGTTTACCCACATGCTCACCACCCTCGGCGTAGCAAAGTAATTTGACCCACAGTGGTATTCTTGGAATCCTAGGTTCGAGGAAGATGTTTGGAATTTCCTTTTCTTATCAATAGATCCTTTTCAAAAACGTGAGCCATCTAGTAGCTGGTGAGTCAACTATCTGAGTTTGCAATTATTTGAGCACGCACTCCAATCACGTATTAGATAGGTGGGCTGCACAAGTGTTCGGCATGAACTCAGCTAAGCTCGTACCGAAAACGAGCACTGCGCCAGCTTTTGGCAAGGACTCGGATTCAATCACACACTTTGTACCCAAGAAACGAACCAAGCAACATTGGCAGTCGCCATGACTGCCAATGTTGCTTAGTTCGTTTTCAAAAGGGTCTATCTGGGTCTAGATTTTCCTCCGAACACCGCGTCACACACCTCGTAACAATTTCTCCCGCCATCCTGTAACGCCATTCTGGAGGATCCCAGCCCTCAAACGCGTTCTGGGTTAAGAATATCAAAGGGACAGCTCGTCGGCGTCCCTTCAGAGATGGGTCGGGCCTCACTCACTTGAAGGTGAGCGTGGTGAGGGGACGGTATGACTTGTGACTCGAGGGCGCCAGCAGGCGGGTGCCCCAGAAGTCATCCTCGAGCAGGCGGGACAGCGGCGTCTCGGGGCGCACGTTGGCGTTGTTCACCACGGCCTCCGAGTCGTCAAAGACAAAGTCCCCGCTCACGCTGTTGGCGAAGCAGGCCAGTGAGGCCGCCACCACCAGGCAGGGCCCCAGCCGGAGGGCCCAGGGGGGCACCGGCAGTGCCCGGTCCCAGTGGGGTCCCTCGTTGCGATCGCTGCCCCTGACGGCGCCGTTCTTGACGCCAGTTGCATTGCGGTTGTGGTCGAAGAGCTGAGTCATCCTGCCAGCATCTTCCCCTTGCGCACGTCATGACCGACGTGGCACGACCTGCGCTCGGATCAAAGCCTTCTTGAAGCTCAGTTCGGCCACTGTACGCAAAACTGAATTCAACTCTCTAATGATAACATTAATGTATAGACCAGGGGTGGCCAGGCTGACCCGGCCTAAGAGCCAAAAACAAATCCACGAAATGTCCAAGAGCCGTGCGGGGGGGGGGGGCACATATTTGTTTAGAGCAATAAACGAAACTCAAACTACTTTCAATCTATTTGAGTCAAAAGCAGTCCACCTGTACGTAAGGTAAGAGCAGCAGAATACTACCAACCGCAAACTGTTTTTCAATTTAAAATGCGTTCCATTTTTCTTTTTTTTTTTTTTATTGGGGGGGGGGGGGGGGGGTAGGGGAGGGAGCCGTGAGCCACAGTTTAACACGCCAAGAGCCGCATGTGGCTTGCAAGCCGCAGCTTGGCCACCCCTGGTATAGACCATTCTAGCAATGCCACTTAGAAAACAAGGCCTGCGCATTACGTCATCGTTAGTGGACTCCCGACCCGCCCCCAGTGGCAAATATGCTGAAGCTCGATGAGAACCACCACAAAACGGCAGACGCGTCCGTTTTGAAGTTGTCACGTGCTAGCATCGCGCTTGCTGCAAGATGCACTGGTGGCGATGCTGATGCAAGGTGTGCGGCACTGCATGGATCCTTTGGTGATGACATTTGGGGGGAAAGGCACACTCCTTGTCTTCTATATAGTACTAATTATAGTCATCATTTTGTGCACTCCATCATTTTTGTCTGTTGGACTGTGGAACATATTTTTAGCGTGTGCAGTAGCTCTCTTCTGCAGACTACCTGACGCCGCACATGCATCCACCGTCCAGCAGCTCAGCATTTTTCGTCTGGGTGACAAGCACTGAAAAGGTCCTCAGTGCCTTTTCAGTGCTTGAAACCTTGCATAACCAATACCAGCACCAGTAGATGAAGATCCAATTATATTAGTGCTATGTTCTTTTGTGTAATGAGCCAATAAAAGCACCATTCACTCTAATCTACATTCTATTACTAGCTCTAAGCACAGCCGAGCATAGAGAAAAGGGTCATCCGTCCCAAAACAATATGGTTGTCAAAGAAGCCACTGCAGATAACATTGGCGTCATCTAAAGCAGTTCATCTCTGAATTCACGGTAGAGTGGTAACTTGAACCAGCTTGGAACATGATCTAATAAAAAACAGTAAATCCCAACCAACTGATTACCTTTTATGGTTAGCAACTGTATTCAGACTTGAGATTTAAGTTAGTGCTTGCCGGCATGTCACCAGCTGGACACGGCGGCGCACATTTTTACGTGCCTCTGCTATCTGCTGCTTGGTACCACATTCTCCGCAGTTTGGCAATCATGCACGTCTGGCGATGACCGATGTGAGCCTCTACCGACTCCATGTGTACACTGTTCCTTTCTGCTGGAAGCGACATTAGCCCTCTGGACTTACCCTCCTGCACGACCAGTTAGGCCTAAGCGAGCCTGCTCGTTCACCCAGCGGTAGCCCTCTCCACACATTCAAGCTCATTTCCTCCTTTTGACACCAGTCCGTCACTGTCGGGCGCGACCTACCTCCTCGTCGCCAGATGCATATAACCCGATCCCGGATCGACAACAATCAACAGCACCTTCTGGCCGCAGTGTGCTACCTACCCTCATTGTGAGCACAAACCACCGTCTGCCTCGCCCACGCGTCTTCCCAGCACCTCAATGTCTGGTACTTGAACGTCCGGTCTGTCGAGATTAAGCACCGGGAACAGAGTGCACTCGTTGAGTCGGCACCCAACACCGTTTTCATTCTAACCAAAACCTGGCTTGACCTGTCAACTTACGATAATCAAATTGTCGTCCCTGCTTGATTCTAAGTATTCCTGAAAGATTGCCCCATCTCTCGCAGTGGTGGTGTCATGATCATAGCCCTATCCAACATGCCCTGTAGATGTCAATGTAACCTTGAACAAGACGCTTAAGAGGCTGTGTTCGTTGAAGCCCAAATTGGCAATAATCCCTTGCTATTCATGTGTCTAGCACCTCCTCGACTTCAAGCAGCCTGCTTTGATGCCCTGCCAAACAGCCATTGACCATATTCAACAATCAAGGTATATCAACATCTACCTGATGGATGACTTCAATACACATATAGATTAAACTGATCCGCGGCATCACCGATTCCTTCCAAACTACTAGCCCAGAGCCTCCTCGACCTGACCGAGTCGTCTGGCTTCATCCAGCACTGCACTGAACCTACGTCCTCAGGCACAAAGTCCCATGTGGACCTCCTGTTTGACACTAATTATTCCCTGCTGTTGGACTGCACAGTCAAAGACAGCCTGATCAATCGTGATCACAGGGCGATCAATAGGAAGTTTTAGAATAGCGCATGCTAAAGCTTTGCGTAGGCAAGGAATAGCATCGTCGCTACTGTGCATGCGCCGAACGCCAACCACGTTTTGCGCTTTGCGTGCGCTATTTTAGCGAACGCTATTTCTCGGAAATTGCATGCATACGCAAGGAGTCTTTGCGCTCTTCCAAGGAGGATTCATGAGAAGTTCGCTAAAGCCAAGACGAGCACAGTTAAAAAATGGCGGCTCCCTGGACCATTGCTGCGGCCGCTTTGGCGGCGTCGGGAGTGTGACATCGGCAGCATTCTTGCGACTGCGATTTTCAATACAGGACAACATTGCACTCGGTTTAAAAAAATGAAAGCCGTTTACAATTCCCTGTAACGCCGGTTGGAGCGCAGCTCTTGAGGAGGAGGATGGAAGCGTAGTGGGGGAGAGGTGACTCCTAAAGGTCACGTGACCTCATGGGAGGTCGGGTGACGTGACCTTGGGGGAGGGGGGTCACGTGACCTCAGAGGGTCACGTGACCTCAAGAGAATCACGTGACCTCAGGCCACCACCGACCTCAGGGGTTCATGTGACTCCAGGGGGTCACGTGACCTCAGGGGTTCATGTGACTCCAGGGGGTCACGTGGCCTCAGTGGGGTCACGTGACCTTAGGGGGTCATGTCACCTCAGGGGTCACGTGACCTGGGGGGGTCACGTGACCTTGACGATGACGGTTTGATGACGTCATCAGTGATGATGACGATGACGATGCGAATGCCAATGACGTCATCAGTGACGTCATCAGTGATGATGACGATGACGATGCGGATGACGATGACGTCATCAGGTTGCATGCAACCTGGATTGCATGCAACAGGTTGCATACAGCTAGTATGCCAGTTGCATGCAACACGCTGCATGCAACCTGTTGCATGCAACTTTTGGAGGAACCCGAGGTCCTCCCGAAGGAACCCGAGGTCCTCCTGAGGTCCTACCGAAGAAACCCGAGGTCCTCCCGAAGGGACCCGAGGTCCTCCCGAAGGACCTCGGGTTCCTTCGGGACGACCTCGGGTTCCTTTGGGACTCCTCGGGTCCCTTCGGAAAAATTTACCCATAATGCACTGCGCGGTTACGCCGACGGCGACGGCGACGCCGCTCAAGCCGTAAACAAGCGCCTAAGAGCTGCGCTCTAAAAACGAGGAAGGTGGGCAGCGATCACCGGCAACTTCATGCTTGCGACGCGTGAACATTTATCGGCAAAGCTAAGTACAAGATGCCTTGCACACATATATCTTACAAGTATGCATGTGATGTTGCAGCCCGCGCTGCTAAAGAACCCAGGCCTTTTTGGTTCTTCATAAAAGCAGAACGGAAATCCTCCTACATCTTAACGACCCTCATGCACAGCAACCTCCTCATCACTGAGCTTGCTGCAATTGCAGATATATTCAAGCAGCAGTTGTTCTCTGTCTGGTTTCCTGCAAACTCCACTCCCCACTTCCCAACTTCATCCACCTGCATTTGCCAGCTCTCTGCTATCTTCAGTCGTGATAACTGAGGGAGACATCACCAGTCCTCTTGCGATAGTTCCGTCTGGATGGAACTCTGCTGGACTTGCTATCATTCTGTCTGGACGCAACTATGCTGCATCTGCTACTGTTCGATATGGACAGAACCCTAGAAACTTAGATCCTCAAAGGAATAATCTCAGCGCCGACACGACAGACTCTCATCGTCCAATCGCCTCAACGTCAGTGGTTTGCAAGGCCCAGGAGAGAATTATAAGCAAGAAACTCTTGCACTAGCTAGAATCCAATCCCCCCCCCCTCCCCCTTTTCTTTTCTTACCCCTGCACGCCTGGAGAGGGTGTCACAACAAGTGCAATAACTACTACTGAACTATTGTTGTCTAGCTTGCCTTGCCCTGTGGTTTGTGAGCAGTTCAACAATGCCGTAGCATCAAAAGTAATTCAAAAGGTTTATTTTCCAAAAAAAAATTAAAAGCAAAAAGCTATTCTTTTTTTTTATCGACGCGCTGCCTACCTACTGCGGGGTGCAATGATTGATTAAAGGTTGATGCAGCTATTCACTCTTACGACAAGTCACCCGGCACCTCTGCGCATTTTTCACCAAATGTGAAACTCCGTAGTTTGCACTTTTAATCGTATACCGAGTTCCTTTCTTGTCCGGGTATTCCAGGAAAGGTAAATAGTATCCACCTCCGCATACGCGGAAGAGATAACAAGCCACACAAGGCTGTTCTATTTCCTACCCTTCCAGGTAAACACATGTTGAAGTTTCCGGCTTCATTCGCAAAAATACCCAAATGATCCGTCTCCCCAAAAACAAAATGTTTCCGAGTTCCGCCACATAAAAAATAGGGTCTCAAACAAACGACGCACCCGTTATGGCACGGTTGCGACGATAAATCCCATCAGATACGAAATGCAAGCGAGATCCAGCTTTTTCGCGGCCAGGCGGCGGAAACAGCTGTTTGAAAGAGGCGTCATACTTAAACAGGCTTTCACGATTTCTGCGGATACAACGAAACTTTGTGCGTTGATAGATTAACCGTTGGTGAATTATGTACGTTTTTGTGTCTTGGAGTTAGTTTTGAACTCGGTAATCATCGATCTGTTCACTGTTCCAACACGATGGCTTCGCCAGTGGAGAGCAGCGCGTTTGGTGGTGTCAGAAAAGCGAAAAGAAACGGACCGCGGAAGATTTCTAGAGTTTTGTGGATTAAACGTGTGCCCACGAAGAAACTAAGATATGAATCTGCGCATAACTTTGCATAGTACGGAGGAGCTTTGCGGCAACGTGCTGGCCTCATCAAACGCGTAGGCCGAGCGAAAAGAGCCGGCAAATAGCTTTGCATTGCAAGCCACCATTCGCTACAAATTGGCTGAAATTTGACGTAAGGGTTTTCCAGACAACTCACCCGATCCATGGGATTCTGATTTAGGCGTTCGTTATTCGTAAAACCGGCGAAAACGCAGTGCACCCCAGCATCTGTTTACATCGCCGTACAAAAGCATGGAAGTAGGCGAGGGAGATGAGAGACAACTTGCACTTGAGAGGCATCGAGGCACGTGGTCACACACGTGATCCGTGACCCTACTCTCGCCGTGGTTGCCTAGTTTTTGGTTTCGTTCTGACAGGGGCGCGTCGTACCAATCTCACGTGCACAGCGCAATTTAGCACGAATTTGAGATTTCAGATTTTTATTACTTTTCTACCACAACTAAAATGCGGGTATCAAAATGACGCGTGTGTTTGAAAGGGAAATCAACTTATGCGACAAAATTTTGCGTTCTTCACTCGCTACTCTGTCGAAGCAGACTGCGAGCAAGCGCAGTTGTCGTGTTTGCGCTAATGACTGTTTGTAAACATATGTGCTACCACGGTAACGCAGATGTTTACAAGCATAATAAGTAAGTAATGCAGCATTGTTTGCTTGTCTTTTTTTTTTTTTTAGTTCATTTCTTACACCCGGCTGCGTGCAACTCATCAGATTAAAGGGGCCCTGCAATGACTTTTTGACTGGTTTTAATTTGCACCGAACCTGAGCGCACGCAACGTAGTAACTTAATCAAACTTTTCTTTTCTCAAATTTCGCTTTATTTTAAAAGTTATAGGCGAATTAGAATTACAAAAACAAGCAAAAATAACTTCCGTCATGACGTCGTAGGTCCTGGCTTGAGTGGCCGTGAACTAGAGGAGGGGTAGTGAGCTCACGGTTGCCGCACTCCGTGTCGACGGCTCGAGAGGGCGCCACTAAAGCATGTGTTGGATAGGCTCTATGAAGCAAGCGGCCGGGGGCGGCTCGCATTGCATTTGCTACGCGATTAGAGACTATTTCGGCATAACACTTCATTGGCCACAAACGACAGCAAACACGGGGTAAAGATCAGTTCAGAACGGGAGCCACTTCGCGCTGCCATACCGCCAAATGGCCAAATCGCCAGCAGGGCCCGCGCCGAAGGCCTTCGGAACGCTCGGAACCGGTCGGATCGTCGAGTCGGTATACGACCGCAGCGCCGCCGCGTATATCCGGGACCTTTCTACGCTGGCTGTTCGTCGTAGCGGTCGTAGCCTCATCCCACTAGTTCTTTCTAGTATGCGCCGTTTTTTCCGCTGCTTGGTGGCGGGTATGTCGACGGGTCTTTTCTTGTTTCCGTACTTTATAAACTGCATTTGTTTCTTTTCTGATCTAAAATACTGAACAAAAACTTATTTTATAAATAAATGAAACGGTTCGCGCAACTTATATTTTGTATTTCGACTACGAAAAAGCTTTTAGCGGCTCTGACCAGTAGTAAGCCTAGGACCAAAGACGTCACATTTTGCGCGCTTTCGGTACCGCGGGTCGCCCTCGTCGGTGGAGGTGGTTTCCGTGTCGTCCGGTTAAAATATGACGCACTGATATTTAGTTACTCTCTCCGTGCCCGCTGGCTTGTCCGAACCCCAAGAGACGTGGAAACCGTAAAAAAAGGTAGTTGCTTAAATGTGATTGCAGGGCCCTTTTAAAGGGACACTACAACGATATTTCGCCGCTCATTTTTTGGTCTATATGTGTTCAAAAGAGCAGTATCACATGGAACACACCAATATCTTGTTAAACAAGTCTCGAAAAGGAATTTTAAAACGAATTAAACGATTAGCAAAGAGCACCTGGTGGATGTCGCTAACGCCTCGTTTGTAATGCTTGTCTAGGAACCTTGACAGCTAGTGACGGAGGTTGTCTCGTCTCCGGCCACGACGAGAGAAGGGGGGAAGGAGGAACTCCCCTCTTCCCGAGAATCCCTTTTGTGTGTCGCAGAAGTCGCTATTGTCCCCCTAGAAGATTATAGAAGATTAACCCGTCACTCAAAATTCGTACAAAAGCAGCCGCTTCGGTGGCTGGAACGACTAGGCCATCCTCTCGATGTCAACCTCGCCGTAGCTTTGCTCGTCTTGAGACTACCTACGTCACGATTGCGTTGGATGTCACGTGCTCTAAGCTGGGCCTTCTCCGAGCGCTTGCCAGAGCGGGCCGTTTATAACGAAAAATACAGCCACCAGGATCAAAATGCAAACGTGCGATTGTCATTTACGGATATTGTGGATCATATTCAACCTATTTTTGAACACGACGGGAATATTTCAAATTTCGTTGCAGTATCCCTTTAAAGGGGCCAACCAACAATTTTTGGACAGGTTTGAAGTTCGCGCTGAAACGGAGCTCCATGAAAGCAGGAACACCGAGGAAAAAAAAATATTACAGAAATTCGCAATATTTTGTGAGTTATTAGCAAAATAAATATTCCAGAAAACAACTTTAAATAAGCAAAACATTGCGCTTCATGACGTAAAATGAAACAGTTTAGCGATTGGAGCAAAGCGGTTGGCCAATTGGACGCGAGTTTGGTTGATAGCCCGTCGGCCCGGTCGGCTCGTTGGCCCTAGCTGCAACCACCGTAGCTTTGGGATCGGGTTGCCATCATCGATGAATTTACCGGGCTTATCGGATTTTGAGTGCGGATCTGGGCGTCGCGCCGTACGAGGACACTCCACGCAAGCGCCGTGACGCGTCTCTGCTTCAGTCCGCGTCGACAGCCGCGGAAGACTCGTCACCCGCAACTCCGCCACCGGAGCCACCTCGGCGAGTAGGAGGTACAAACTGGTGAGCGGTCGGGCACCATATAAGCTGGGTCCCGTCGCCGCACTTCACTCGAACAGTGAAAAGTCTTTCACAGCACTAAAAGAAAATAAGGGTTCCCCTCGCTCCTCTTACTGCTTTTAGTTGACCGGGACCGGGGGCGCACAAGTGAAAATACGATGCGCTCTCTCTGCACGGATCACTTGTCGTCTGCTCGCGATGCAGGGTTGCCGTTGGGCAGACTTTGAAAGAAGCCAAAACTCAAGCTAAAAGTAGCCAAAAATAGCCATACCATTTAATCTTAGCGCCAAATTTCTAGCCGAATTGAACACAAGCAATATTATGAATACTGTTTTTATTAGTAAATTCGAACAATCAGGGATAGCATTTTGAATCAACACAGGAAACTGAATAAATACAACAAAAATTTTGGCACCTCTGCTTTGTCACAGGTATGTCGCAAATAAATAAATTATTAAATGTTCGGTCGGCCTGTACATAGTTTATCTAGAATAGATAGCGTTCTTGCCAGAGTAATTTTGACACATTCTAGTCAACAACTCAGTTGGGACGTTAAATGTCGAACTTGTTTTTCCCTGAAGCTGTAGACCAAACTTGACTCGTAGGATCGCCATGAGTAGGTTCAGCTTCATTTTGTAGCGGATCTCTGTTTTTGTCAGGTTCATCTTCTTGGAACGCACGCTTTGCACTTGTGTGCTTTCCCATGGCAACAACGGTATCAGCACACTGGCACAAATACAGCTCTGTCACCTCGGGGCTGCAAAAGTATTTCCTTAGTATCGTGCTTGTCATGCCGCAGCCGTCGTAGCGTTGCGTTATGCCGTCCACATGGTCCACATGGCTAAACCAGCTTCACCTTCGAGTGTGACTTCGGATGCGCAGCGATCATAACGGAGACAGTACTTTCGGTGTACGCTGTATTCCCCAGATGGCGCGCAGAGTCAGCTGCTGCTAGAGTTCCTGCATAGGCTCCCTACGGGAGCAGAGTTGCGCATTTGTTTTCCCCGCGCCGCCACACCGCTATTCGCCGAGATCCATCACGTGAGGAGCAAAGCATCCGTTGGCGTGCAAGAACGCCACCTTTACGGTTGCTCCGCCGACGCTTCTCTTGCCCTGGCGTATGTTTCCCTGCTTTCCGCCTCCTTTTCCTCCTCTCCTGTTTTCCATGCGCGGCGGCGCGGGCGGCGCCGCTATTCGCCAAATTTAGTCACGTGAGGAGCAAAGCATCCAGCTCGTGCGGGAAAGCCGGCGCTACGGCCACGCGCCGACGCTGAATGCGCAACTCTGCTACCGTAGGTAGCTATAGAGGAACTCTAGCTGCTGCGCATGAAGTCACTGGCCACTCATAGCGCTTTTAGCCGCGCGTACAAGGGAGGAAACATGGGTGCATGAGGCGCCACGACGGCGAAGCTTGGAAATAATGACTTGTCTATATACTTGCTTGCTATTGTATCTGCTATTGTTTAAAAAAATGGCTAGTAAATCCGCCAGAAGAGGAGTTCCAAGTAGCCAGGAAGTAGCCAGGGAGCCAGCGTGAAATTTTCATCGCCAGACGGGATCGTAAAGTAGCCAATTTGGCGTAAAGTAGCCACCAACGGCAACCCTGTGACGCGATGGTACGTCGCGGACGCCGCTGGGAGGCGCGCATGAGCGACGAGGCGTTGTTTTCGCCCTTTTTGAACTTTACTTTGCAACTTTAGTAGCTCTATAAAAATTAATTGTTAGAGAAATAATAACGGTTAACGTGTGATATACTTTATTTCGCTTCAAAATTCCTGGGACGGCTCTCTCCAATCACGAAACCCAGAGAACAACGTTACTAATGGTGAATTCCACTCGTAGATCTGGAGCGCTTTCCAAAATCCGCGAGGGAGGCGAAATTCCGCTCCGTGGGACCCGCTCCGAATCGACGAGGGGAAGATAAACTTGCATTTTTGGAGCGACCTCCCCCACACCCCTCCCCATCCCTTCTCCCTCCGCCGTACAAAATGGCCGCTGCTCGAACTTGACCAGCCCACCAACGCCTCAGCCGGCTGATCTTTCCGACGACCAGTGACGACTGTCACTGCTTAGCTGCAGAAGTAACACGCGACACAGGCCGGGCGAACTTATACGTACCGCGGCGTCCATGTCACAAATAATGAAGACGTCCGCGTTCGGCACCATCACATACCTTTCGGCCGCCTCGAAGCGGCGGGGCACGGACAGCGATTGCCAGCGGTGGAGTTCAGATTTGTAGTACGACTTTAATAAACACAGAGGTAACAAACCATCACTTTCGCGGTCGTTGCCTAACCTCTTCTTGCTTTATTTCACGGGAAAACGCCGACGGAATGCAGTGTAAAAAGGTAAACAATCACTGGCTGCAGAATGAATAGGCCTAACCTTGCGTCTGCCTCCGGCTTTTCTGTCGTTCTTTTTCTCGTTCTTCCTCTCACGATCACAGACGTCAGCGCTTACGATTTGCCACGC